TGGAACCAGAAGCTATTGTTTTTGCAGCTGAAACTTGTTTGACAACAAGTGGCAAAAGAAGTGCTGCAACCGTCCTCAAATATCTTAAAACATCTCCCAAACGAGCGGGAAAGTATAAAAAAGCCTATCGCAGCAGTCTTGAACCTACAAAAAAATCATTGACACCATTAGAGGCTCTTTTAATATTTACTGACGCAGGCCTAACAAAATCTCAATATGAAATCGTACGTACAAGTGACAAGAAGCAATGGCCCTGCTACAGTATTTTGGTCGAAGAAAAAAAAATTGCTATCCTGATCCTGATTCGTTCACAGTCACAGAAAGTTTAGCTGAAGTAGACTTACAAAGTCTGTTAAACCATACTGCTGAAAGATTGGTGTTGTATTTAGAAGAAGTTATCAAGACTCTAACGGAAAGTGGGCGTAAACATATGAAATTATCTACGAAATGGGGTTGTGATGGCTCCCAGCAGACACAGTTTAATCAAAAGTTTGAGGATGACTCTCATTCTGATGCCAGTATATTTCAATGCTCAATGGTTCCATTACAGCTAACTTGTGGAGTAAATAAAAAGGTTATCTGGCAAAACCCTACACCATCGTCTCCAAGGTTTTGAAGGCCAATTCGAATTAGGTTCATAAATGAAATTGCTGATGTAATAGCTGAAGAAATTTTTTTTTTTTTTTCAATCAATCAATATATATATTTCGTCAATGAACAAAAAAGAAAGAAAATTTTACAATGTACTTGTAAAATAAAAATAAAATAAAATATATTTTTTAAATTCTGACAGGAGCAAGCAGAAGGCAATACATCTTATCATCTTGCCCCTTTGATAGTAAAATAGTTAACTTTATTTACATGATTAAGTTCGTAAAATCTATAATTATAAAATTAGTTTATTATAAAATTACATATTTTTGAGTTAAACATACATATTCGTATTAGTAAATACATAAAAATACGACTTAAAAATACAAAAAAATATTTTTATTGGTTAGATTTAACAAATGTTGTTTCACAGTTTTTTTAAATGCTTTAATTGAGGCTATAGATTTTATGTCATTATTCAGGATTGAGTTCCACAGTTGTGGACCCCGACAAGTATTAGAGTAGTCCGATTTTTTAAGAGTTGTTGATGGTATGTAAAAATTGTCAATAGAATATCTTGTTAAGTATCTGTGATTAACTAAAGAGAAATGTGCCTGAAAATATGATGGAAGCATGTTATTGTGAAGTTTAAACATAAACAATAAATTTTGATAAATTTTTAGTTCGAATACATTCAGAGCTTTAATTTCTTTTAGTAAAGGCTTGGCGTGTGCATATCTGTCTGCATTAAAAATTAACCGAGTCGCTTGTTTTTGTTTGCTATAAATTTTTTTAAATAAAGACGAGTGTTTTCTTGCCCAAGCTATATTACAATAACTAATATAGCTATGTATAAATGAAAAATATAAATTTTTGAGGCACATATTATTCAAAAGGTGCTTCATTTTGAACATGATCCCCAAGGTTAAAGAGATTTTGTTTTCTAATGATTTAATATGATTTTTCCAACTTAAATGTTCATCAAATAATATACCTAAAATTTTCATTGAATGAACATTTTTTATTTTAATGTTGTTTATAAATAAATCTGGAAGTTTAAGAGGTAAGTTATCAGTTTTTGAGGGTTTTGTGAACAAAATGTATTTCGTTTTATCATTATTTAAAGAGAGTCTATTAGCTTTAAACCAGTCGTTGAGATTTACTAGTTCAGTGTTAACAGTAGAAAAAATGTACTTTAAATTATTACCAGAAAAGAAAATATTGGTATCATCCGCAAAAAGAATGAAATTTAGTAACTTGGAGGATAAATGGATATCATTTATATATATGAGAGATAGCAGAGGACCAAGCCTTGGGGGACACCATAACTAATACTTTCTAATTGTGTACGTGTTAAGTCATACGTAATACATTGTTTACGATTCTGAAGATAAGACTGAAGCCATTTTAAATTCTGATTCAAAATTCCGTAGTTTTGCAATTTATATAGAAGGATTTCATGATCTACAGTGTCAAAGGCCTTCGATAGATCTACAAAAACTCCCAGTGTATAGTTGTTGTCATCAAAGCCTTTTAAAACAGTGTTAGTCAAATCAACTATCGCATGCTCAGTGCAATGGTTTTTTCTAAATCCAAATTGTTTATGGTATAAAATATTATTTTTTTCAAGATAATAGTATAATTTATTGTACATTACATGCTCAAGAAGCTTTGAAAAACAGGAAAGTATTGAGATAGGCCTGTAGTTGGTTTCTATTGAATCATCGCCATTTTTATGAATTGGAATTATTTTCGCAAATTTTAATTGAACAGGAAAGACTCCATTTTTTAAAGAAAGATTAAATATAACGAAAAGTGGTGACTCTATAATATCATAGACTGCTTTCACAACATTTGAACTAACATCATCAAGACCAGCGCTTTTATTCGTTTGAAGTGTGTTAAAAGCTAAACGAAGCTCATCAATAGAAAGTTCTGAATCTTCCAGAACAGAAACAAATTTTTTCAAAAAAAATTTAAATGATTTGTTACTTGGAGAGATTTCACTGCCTAATTTGTTCCCAATGTTTATAAAAAAATTATTAAGTTTCCCAGCAATTTTTTTCTTATCAAAAATCTCAACATTATCCTCTGTTTGAAGTCGTTTGGGAATGTTGTTAAATTTAGTTTTTTTTTTTACCAATTATTTCATTTATTATAGCCCAAGTCTTTTTAGGATTTCCTAACGCTTTATACAGTAAACTCGAATAGAAATTGCTTACATGGAAAACAAAATTGCAGGCTTGAAACCAACTCAACTTCAAGACATAGCAGTAGAACATGTGATGATGTTAACTATGATTGACGGAAAAGTCTGTAACGCAGCAACCACCAGTAAATCGACCATGCAATGTTATATTTGTGGAGCAACATCAAGACAATTTAATGATTTGGACAGAACATGTGTTGACAATCAAAGCAGCTACAAATTTGGACTATCCATTCCGCATGCTAGAATACGGTATTTTGAAAGTCTCCTTCACCTATTATATAAATTGCCTGTAAAAAAAATGGCAGAAAAGGCTGAATGAAGATGAGAAGAGACTCATCTCAGATAGGAAAAAGAAAATCCAAGATAAATCCAAGAGCAAAATGGGCATTCTTGTCGACATACCTAAGGTTGGATTTGGGAATACCAATAAAGGCAACACAAGCAGGAGATTCTTCAACGGAAACATCTGCAGATACCACTGGAGTAGACTTCCGTTTAATTTCCAGAATAAAAATTATCCTAGAAGTAATTTTCAGTGGCCACAACATTGATGTAGAAAAGTTCAGACAGTATACTTTGGATACTGCAAAGCTTTATGTTGAACTATACCCCTGGTGTCTAATGACTCCAACTCTGCATAACGTTTTAGTACATGGTCCTGATATAGTAGAGAATGCGCTTTTGCCAATTGGACAATTGTCGGAAGAGGCTGCCGAAGCCAGAAACAAACATTTCCGGGAGTACAAACTTAGCTATGCTAGAAAATTTTCTAGAAAAGATTGTAACCAAGATATCATCAATAGGTTATTGTTAACATCCGACCCTCTGTTGTCCAGCATTGGGAAAAAGAAACACAAACTTACAAAGCCTTTTTCAAAAGAAGCTGTGGAATTGCTTCTTCCTGGAGAAGTCCAAGACTCCGACACTGAAAACAACGAAAATGAAGAATATTCTGACAATGACGAAGTGGAATCTAACTAAATATCAAAATATAGTATGTTATTTACCATAATAAAGTTTGAAAAATAATATCTTTTATTTCCTCAAACCCTATTGAATAGAATAAAATGTAATCCCTAAAGTATCCATCTTTCCCCTATATTGAACGCCACTGGCTTGGATTTGTACAAAAAACATTTAATTTACAATTTCTTGCAAACTACATCAACTATGCAATGATTTTTGATTTAACGACAGATATTCTTAAATCTGTCATTTAAGTAAAATATAATAGGTTTTGTATTTAAATTCGGGTAAAAAACTTATGATTGGAATAGACCATTTTTAAAGCGCTTTTTAATTTATTTTCATTAGTAAAAAACAATGTTTATAACTTCTAAATGATGTTTTTATTCTTATTTCATCCACTTTTAAATCAAAGAATAATGAGATTTTTTTTAATGTGTAGATAACTTTCAAAAACTAATCAATTTACACCAAAATAATCCTCGCTTCTGTAAGTGGTGGTCAAAAGAACAGGGACAAAACTATTTATTTAAAAAACGCCTTGAATATTCTATCATATATTGTTTAATGACCTTTCAGTTTCTGTTTTTCAGTTATTAAATTTCCCCCCCTTCCCCCCCAGAAAAATTGATTATTCCCTGAAGTTCGTTATTTTAGTGGAAAAAATATTAAGGACAAAAGATAAACATGAAAGAAAATTTTGTTAATTTATTGTATTTATTTTACTGTATTACATATCGAGTTTATCGAGTTTTTTTAATCACTTCTGCACATCGTTTAGACATTGTATCTATCTGCTTACAAATATCAGGCGTTTTTAGACTAATTATTTTTTTTTAGATGTCAAAATTTTTTTTATAAAATAATCTGATGAATAATTTTTTATTCATCAAGTTTCATATTCAGGTGTTTCAACTGTTCGTTTTTTTCCTCCACCTACTTATTAATGTGGGTTGTTTAGTGCGATGACCTAATGTTAAATAGAATTAAAAAACGAAAGAAAACTTTATGTTTGTTGAATTCGTTTAATATGGTAAAAAAGGGTGTAACTTCCTTTGAGTGTAAAAACATAACTTTCTATTTATTTTTTTTATTTAGTGAATTTTTATTTAGTACACACATCAACATTAGAGACTTTAATTTATAAGCAGAAAAAGAACGCAAGCATCGAGACATCAATAAGAACATGCACGCGGAGAAATCTATGTGAATACACTTTAAAACATCTATGAAAATTTACGTATATAGGTATTCACGTAAATATAAATAGAAACATTCATGTTTATATAAGTAAATAAACCTATGTAAATAGTAACGAAAATATGACGTATTTAAGTGAATAATCTTATTGTCATATCAACACCAGATGTAAATATCCAAGGTTGATGCGGATGAAACGTTATGTCAGTGACACCTTAAAAAATAAACAAGTTTGAATAAATCTTTCAGAAATCCTGTAAAAAAAAAAACAGTCTATTTACAAAAAAAATATTATCAAAAATTATATATATATATATATATATATATATATATATATATATATATATATATATATATATGTATATATATATATATATATATATATATATATATATATATATATATATATATATATATATATACATATACATATATATATATATATATATATATATATATATATATATATATATATATATATATATATATATATATATATATATATATATATATATATATATATATTTAAAAAACGTACGAAAGTTAAAAATAATAACAATAATTAAAAAAAAAAGGTAAATAATATGTTTTTAAAAAAAATAATTCTGACGTTTTATTGTCTTTTTTGAATATTTTATAACTATATTATATATTAGCTATACCTTCCTTCTGATATTAAAAAAAAAAATTATAAATAAATTACCAAGATCGTTAATCGACTTGTGTCCACGCAGAATTTTTAAAGGAACAATCATCGGATTTTGCATTAAATCACTAAAAATAAAAACATAAAATAACCAAAGAAAACACAATCTCCAATCATACTAGAAATTATGTAATCCCACAAAAAGAATCCTTAACACAATCTCCAATCATACTAGAAATTATGTAATTCCACAAAAAGAATCCTTAACACAATTCTCTACATACTAGAAATTATGTAATCCCACAAAAAGAATCCTTAACACAATCTCTACATACTAGAAATTATGTAATCCCACAAAAAGAATCCTTAACACAATCTCTAAATACTAGAAATTATGTAATCTCACAAAAAGAATCCTCAACACAATCTCTACATACTAGAAATTATGTAATCCCACAAAAAGAATCCTTAACATAATCTCTACATACTAGAAATTATGCAATCCCACAAAAATAAGTTTGACCTTTAAGACCCGGCAATAATTAAATTTTAAATATTGAAAATGATTTTAAAAATTCTTTCTTTCCTTAATGCCAGCCATTTAAATTAGCTTTTTACTAAGAAACTTAATAACGAATAGTGGAAATTATAAAACTTAAAAAAAAAATCAAGCGTGCTACGGATCAAAGTTATATTTGTTTGTATATATGTAAAAAATAGCATCATCAAATTTAGCTGAAACATTAGCAACATAAATCTATACAAAGTACATTCATAAAAACGACCGTCTAATCAAGTTAAAAAATAACCTGTACACCGTTGCATGACTAACTACTACAGTTCCATCATCTGAGGCGGAAGCAAACAAAGGATAGCATCGATGGTATGCCACTTGGCGTATAGCTTTTTTATGATGTCTAAAAAAAAAAGATAAATAAAATTTAAAAAATAACAAAAAATTATCTTTAATTTAAACATTTTTTCCCTCTTACCGTAGCACTTTATACGGTTTTGAAGATAAATCCATATCAAACCAACATAAACGTTTGTCATAACTTCCAATTATAATATTATCACCTAAAACAATTTAATACTGAGAACTACAATACTAGTAAAAGATTTCAAATATATACAAGAACTATGCACCTATATACAATTAGCATTTATCCAAAAATAATATATATATATATATATACATATATATATATATATATATATATATATATATATATATATATATATATATATATATATATATATATATATATATATATATATATATATATATATATATATACATATATATATATATATATATATATATATATATATATATATATATATATATATATATATATATATATATATATATATATATAAAGATTTTACTAAACATAATATTACATAATAAGTCAAAAAAGTATCAAAATTACTATTTTCAATTTTTGATAGATTCTTATATACTTTTTTTACGCTCATATTTTGATTGATTCTTATGTACTTTTATAACGCTTTTTTTAATAGAATATTGTCGTAACCATTAGACGCTATTTAGCAACAAAAATTTTTTTTAATTCCCAAAAAAATGCATCCATAGTAAGAGTGCAGTATATCATATATCTTTGTATAATCATTTAAAGAATTTAAAAAATAATAAAAAATATTATAATAAAAAATTTGGGTAGCATTAATAAAATTAGTAAAACAAATAAAAATCTTTAAAAAGCAATTATCTCAAAACATGTTTTAACGTCACTTCACATACCAAAGCGCAATATTTTAAACAATTTTTGTAGATTTTTTAAAAACGACTGAGTTAATAATTTTTTTAAATACTTTAGAGATTTTGTTAACTTTTTTTCACTTATCAAAATCATTTGTGGAAAAAAAACAAAACCTCTTGAGTTTTTTAAATAACTATTCAACAATTCATTGCCTATATTACCAAATAAAAGAGATTCTTCATTCGTGTTACTTTTATATATGTCTATATATTTTTTATATAGTATACTATAGTTCTAATCCTTGAGTTTGTAGAAGCACTAGGAAGTGTAAAAATATTTAAAAAAATGTGCACTATAAAAAATAATTAGAAAAAAAACCTTGAGAATGAACATCAATGCTAGATATCCATTTAACTCCAGACATAAGTTTTTTCGAAAGCTCTTGTTTTTGAAGATTGTAAACACGAACATATCTTTGCGTCTAAAAAAATTTTTAAATTTAATTAGCTATGATTTTAAATTAGAACTAATAATATTATAAATTATAATTATGTTATAAAATATAAAACTTTTTATCATGTTTACTAATTGTGATTTTAATTTTAAAAATAAAGATTTCATTCACAAAACATTAAAAAGAGATTAGTATTGAATTATTAAATCTATTGAAAAAATTAAAAAACAATTTAAACATTTTAACGATTGATGCAAAACTTTAGGTATATCTTTCATGGAAAGCATTGTTGAAAGATAACAACTTAAATATCTATATCCTTTGTAGAGTCAGCTGATAAAAAATATATCAAAACTATTGTTAAAAAATTAGGAAAGAATATATAGAGCAGAAAAAGTCTTTACAGCAAAAAGCAGCATTGATTTACAACACTTAAATTTACTTTGAATTTATCATACTATGGTATGGTGTTGAATTTATCATACTAAATGGTGGCTTTATTGGTATAAGTGGTTCGAACTAATGAGTTTGGAAATTGTTATAAATTGAACTAATGAGTTTGGAAAATGTTTTAAATTGAATGAGTTTAGAAAAATTGAACTAAAAACTGAAGGTATAATAAAAATAACACCAACCGCAACAAAAAAGAACGGTCTTGAAGGATGAAACTTTACGCATTGAATTTGTCCATTCATTTTTTTAAACGGGCACTATAAATAAAAAAAAAGCTCCAAATAATCTATTCACATTAACAAAACTAAAAAATTAAAAAAACATCAAACTTGAGTTTTTCTTTTAGTCAACTGATGAAGCAGGATCGATTTGCTGTCACCTAAAAGTTTAAAACTGTTATTTAATCATAAAGCAAAATTTTTAAAATTTTTTTAGTTTCAATAATATATTTCTGTTAAGAGCAACAAATTTACTAATAAAATATTTCTGTAGATTTTTAACGCAACATTTATTAAACAATGAATTTATAGTATTACCTTCTGGACAGACCGTAGCAAAATAATCTCCTTTCGCATGCCAAGTTACTTGTTTAATAGGCTGAAGAAATAAAATTTAATGATTAAAGTTAAAAACGTTCGAATAATTATATTATTATGAAAAGAAAGATATCTGCAAATTATAGGCTCTTAAATATACAAATTACAAATTGGTGAACTCTTTAAAATTCAATATTTTTTGAGAAGATAGCACCCAAAACAGGCATGGGAAACTAAGATTGCCATAAACGCACCATATATTAAAGAACAATAGCAGAGAAAAACTCTCTTACTAACCAGAGTTGGGGTCAAATACAAATTCAAATAAGGTAATTCCACATTTCCAAATACAAATTCAAATATCTTTAATTGGCAATTTTCAAATACAAATACAATACAAATCTTTTTTTAAGTTAAAAAAATACATAGAATAAAATAATACAAAACAATACAAGACAAAACTTATAAAATGGTCTAATAATAAAATGGTCTACTAAATAAAATTATGAAAAAAACCTTCTATTAAATATGCTTTATAAACAAATTTTTATTTCATTTTAGTGTTTTTTTAAAAAAAAAAAAACGCCTCGGGTATTTCTTAAAAATAAAACCGTTTAACCTAGTTTATGGAATTGCAAATACTAATACAAATAAAAAATTTAAGAAATTTTTTAATCAAATACAACACGAATACAAATACGCCAAATTAGACTACTTTTATCAAATACAAATAGGTATTTGTAGCTTAAGATGTTTCATTCCAGAAAATTTTTTTAAAATGATCATGTTACTCACATAAAGTGGTAGATAGTAAAAAACATGTCTGAAACTTTCACAAAAACATTTTTTCTTTAAGAGGTCACCATCTTAAAAATGTTACTCACTAACATTTCACAACACATAAGGAATAAAACACCTTAATAATGAATGAACAAAACACCCTAATGATGAATGAATAAAACACTCTAATGAGGAATGAACCCTATATTTTTGTACTGTGAGTTAAAATTCACCATAAAAAAATTCAAACACAAACTCTAGGTTAGAAGTTAATTCTTGCCTTTTGGTGCATTAATTTTAGCTTTATTCCACGGTTAAGTTCATCTGAAGAAGGCTGAGTCCATTCAATAGTATTTGCAGAGTCTAAATTTTAATTAAATTTTATTTAAACAAAATTATTAAAAATTTTATTTCTTTAATTTAATGTCTGATTTTTTGAAGTCTAATCTCTTTAGTGTATATAGTGCATCAACTTTTTATGCATAATTAAATCATAATTAACAAACCTATGTCCCCAGTATATTGATCAATCAATTTATCAACATTTTTGCATAGTAGTTTGTCTCCAAGGTTGGGATTTATAATATTTAAATGTGAATCTCTAATAATAAACATTAAATTAAACATCTAAATAAAATATAAATCTTAAAATATAAAAATATAAAAATTTAAACATATTAAAATTTAATTTTAAAATTTCAGCTGTCATCATTAATGAAAATTAAGTCGGAAAAACTCACATAGCTGCTAACAAAACAGGTATAGCTTCATTTGGATTCCACTGCAAACTGTGCACAGTACCATCAAATTTAATTGCCTTCAAACAACGTGCAGTTTGGATCTCCCAGAAACGAATATTCTTATCTGTGCTGCCTGTAAATTAAAACTATTTTAATAAAACAAAATAATTCTAGACATAAAATCATGAAAACAACGTTTTATACCACTAGCTAGCCATTGCCCAGTAGGATCCACCGAAATACAAGTGACAACTCCCTCATGACCTTTGTAGATCTATCAAGGAATAAAAAAACTTTAAATTTCTTGAAAAAAAAAAAAAAAAAAATTTCTCAAACAATTCTAATATCTCACCAAAGATTGAACTGTTGGATATGGTTGTAGATCACGTGGTCGAGGAAGTTTTGGTATTAAGTCTTCAGGATCAATTTGTAGCTAAAAGTATTGTAAATGAAAATAGTGATATAAAATATAGCTGGGATCCATTTCATTAATGCAAAACAAAGAGTAAAAAATTTCATACTCTGACTTTCTTTTGTCTTGCACATAAGTAAAGATCAAGACACCTATCAAATTTCTCATTTATAAACTTAGAATATCCTGGAACTTTTCTCAAAGCATCATATTTCTGTGAGAGAAAATTTTGTGTCCTATCTTCAGGGTCTGTGGCTAACCAAACTGCTTTCTGATAAAACATATAATGTATAATGAAAAAGAGATATAGCTCGTAATTTAACATTTCACATTCTTGAAAATAGAAATAGCAATAATAAAATAACCTCTTCTTCTGTAGGAAGATATTCTGGAGGAGGATTGTAAGATTCCTCATGACCTAAAGAATTTTAAATGTTAAGTATAAGATTTATGTTTTAAAATAGACAAAAGATAAAAAAAATATAAAAGAAATATATTGTATATAATAGATAAAAAATAGATAAAAGGAATAATTTAAGCCAAGAAATCATGTACGTAGAAATTTCATTGAGAAGCCACTGATGGATTATTCAATTTTTTTTAAAATTCATCAATTTTTTGTTTGATGATACAGACATGATCATTTGTTTGATGATACAGACAATTCTAGTCATGAAAGTTCAGAAGATAACAGTACAAGTGATGATCACACAATACCATTGAAATGTGCAAAGATCACTGGTAAAATGGTAGCTCAGATATCTGAAAATGAAGGGTTTCCAATAAGTTGTACGGCATAGATTGCAGAAGATGTACTCAATGCAGTTGATTGGTGAGAGATCCGCGGTCCAAAAAAACATCTACAACACTCTTGCATGAATGAGACTTGATTGGGTTTTATATCAAACCCTTTGTTATATCTTTCAAAAATTTAGAGAAAGGCAACTCTGTTTCTATTTATAACATGTTACACAATATTATTTTGGAATTTAATTTATTAAATCAAATTTCTGTAATAGTGTGACATTAAATACCACTGCAGTAAATACAGGTTCTAAAAATGGAGTAATTAAGTTTTTGACAGTATTTGTTCCAGGTTTAGTGTACCATTCTTGTTGACTTCATGTTCTCGACCTGATTCTTAAGCATTTTATAAACTCAAAGTTTGATTCCTTATCAACATCGCCTAATATTATTTACTGGTTCATTAATGAGTTTATTAGTAACTACCATGAATTAATTGAAATATAAACCTAACTAGCCAGTTGTTAAAAGTCAGGAATGATTATAGGGAGCTGGAATTTTTATGTAAAGGATACAAATCTTATGGAGACAATAAATTTACCAGCAATTCATTTTCCTAAACCAGGGCCTATTTCAAATGCAAGATGGAATTCAAGAGTTATCTATTGCTTGAAATATTTCTTTTGACTCTATTTAGTTCACTTGGTTCTCTTGCAGTATATAAATGGTTCTCCTGTAGTAGAAATGTTAGCGATATAAGAAACTTAAAATTGGCATTAACTGGTAATTGCCTTGAGTGAGACACTGTTATATTTGGAATGATCGTCTATTAGACTCTGATTACACAAATGAAGTGTGTAAATGATCACTTGCAAAAATTAAATTATTTCTTTAAAGAAACGTCATCAACTTAGAGGCCAAATTTCTGAGACACTGTAATAAACTTGCCTATGTGTGTTAATGTATTAAAACAATTTATTGTTTGAAAAGTCTCTGTGATATTTGGAACTATTGTCCATTAGACATTGATTACACAAATCAAGTATTCAAAAGAATTCTTGCAAAAGTTAAATTATTTACTTCCATGACATATTTACATTCATATTATTATTTAAACTATATTTACTTAGGTGACACAATTTTCAAAGACTTAACAAACATTATTTTTACCCCAAGTTACATAGATATTTATGCGTAGTTTGTAAGCATGGAGGCTAGTTAGGCTAGACAATTTGCAGGGGCTTTGAATTTGGGGGCCCTTTTTTAAATTTAGGGGTTCTTTTTTCCAAATATAAGGGTTTTTTTTAGTAATACACCTAGTAATGAAAGGTTTTATCATTTCAGAAAAACAAGTTTGCATAGAGGGTTTTTGAATCTGTTACTGCATTTTAAATAATTTAAAAAATATTTATTTTTCAATTAATTAAAAAAGTTAAAAGTAATTAAAGTGACATTATTTGTTGTCAAAAGAATAAATTTTTACTTTCTGTAGATATATTAAATACTTATTACTTTTGCATAAATTTTTGCTTTTGGTAAGTAAAAAAATACTAAAAATCTTTATTGCAATAAAACTTTTTTGGAAGAAAAAAAAAAGAAAACAAAGAATACTTTCTGTTTAACCCCACCTCAATTCTTAATCAAAGTAGCGGTACTTTCTTGAATGTTTTTTCTAGATAATTAGTCAATTTATGTACTGAAGCCCTCACAGTAACTGTTCCACAGTGTATGCAGGTGAAATTAAAATGCAGATAAACATTTTAATGCTATAAATTAAGTTAAATATTGGTCTTCCTTTTTTAAACAAACTTATAATATTAATACAATAAATTTATATTAAAATATTAAAAAAAGGATGGAAGGGGGGAGGGCTTATTGAAGAATTTATGGTGAATTGAATTTCCAGGTTTTTCATATGTTACAATTATGTGTATTAAAAAAGTTCTTACCAGGAAGTTTAAGTTTTGGTGCTGGCCAATGCATTACATGAGTTTTAGGCTAAAATACAAATATCATAAATAAAAGTTGCATAAAAAGGTATTTATTATAAAATACTTTTTTTTCTACCATTAATTGATTTTTTTTTTAAAAATTTTAAGTCTAGTTCCATAGTTCCACACTTGCGTAAATTTGACATACAAAATGGTATTTTTAAAGATATACTTGATTTCCTGGAAATGGTGAAGAAACTACAAATTTCTTCGTTCAAGTAAATTCTTCTGTCTTCCTCAAGTAATGATAAGATGCAGCAATAAGTTTTCCCAAATTTTTTTTCTTTTCAGAAAAATCATACAGATTTAGGTGGGCAAACAAAGTTAGCAAACATCTATATATGTTACAGTATAAATATATATACACATACATACCACATCATCTTTTCCCCACAACAAATAATATTTTGGTTTATCATCTTTTCCAACTTTAGGTTTGATCCAACCATTACGTATTGCTCGAACAATTTTCATCACCTAAATTTAAAACGAAAATAAATAATACCATTTTACTCATCAAATAATGTTTTGTTCGCGCTAACAAAATCATAACATTTGAGTTTTTTTATCCTCATTATGTTCTATGTTTTTGTATTATAATACTGCTTAAAGTTAAAATATAATTTAAAATATATAACAACTAAATATAAACAAATAGTAAATAAATAATAAAAAATTAAGGTTAAAAAAAATGTAAAAAAGTATTGGATGAAAACTAGAGTAAAAATTACATTAAACAATAAAAAACTTGAAAAAATAAATAACTAAACAAATATTACAAAACCTGCATAATCATTAAAAACTTTAGCATTTTGAAATTTAAACTTTGAAATTTATTTTAAATTTAAATAAAAAAAAATAATATAGTAAAAATTAACATAAAAAAAACACCTTTTTATGTTCCCATTTTGACGGAATAAAACTTCTTTTGGAAGCAGGTGTGCTTTTTACTGGATGAATCATTTTCTCCCCTGTGAAATAGTCCACGTACGGCTAAAAAAAAATTATTTATAAGTTACGAGTTCAAAATCTCACAAATAATAAATAATCACTAAGAAATAAGTTTATCACTTAGTCATTTACCTATATATATAATTTGTACAGTTAATGCTTAATGCCATTAGTTACTGAGTTAGTTTGGATTTTGTAAAATTGCTAAATACTTTTCTTTTTCTAAACTGCGCGCATCATTTTTTTGTTCTTTCAATGAACATTTTCTGTTTTCTGTATGATAGACTTTTTTCTAAACTATGCATGTTGTTTGAGGAAGACAATGAGTTCTTTTAGCTTTTAACAAGCTGTGTAAGTAGTGTTTTTTATTCTAAAACACTTATATTTTTGTTTTAAGTTTTTATGTTTTGGTTTATATTTAATTTTTTTGATTATTTTAGCTGGATCTGGTACAGCGTTACAACTGGTAGGGTTATCTTTTATACTCTAATTAAAATCAAAAATATGTCTACAATTCTTTATCTACAATTCTTAAACCTTTTTTCTTTTTTCTTTAGAACTATCTTGGAGTGTTTATAAGAAATATTGCTCCCAGCATCCAGGACCTCTCTCACATAGGTCTTTCAATAAATGGAAATTAAATTAAGGTGTGGATGATCCCTCTTTTAAATGGAAGGCTCATCCATGCAGGGATGCACAAGAGAAGAACCAATAACAAAGTTATCAATATCTTTAATTATTTAAGAATTAAAGATTTTTAATTATTTATAACTTTGTTGCTGTTTTTTCGTTGGTATTATTTATTTTTAATTCATTTTTGTAACTTTTTCATTTAATTATACATCAAAATTGTTGTTAATTTTATTTGTTTTGATCTTTGGTATTTAAGTTTAGATAACTCTTTTGTTATTTAAATTTATATTACTAGGTTACATCAGAACAACTGTTATTTTGCCTTGCCTAAACCATATCTGTTAACTTTGATTTAAACCCTTTTTTATTGGTAAACTTTCTTAACTATAGGTTATTCATTTTTTACACTCATAGTTATATAAAATGTTTATTATTTTTATTAAATTAACTTTAAAAATATGAATAAATTTCTTATTAAATATTGTTCATTTTGCTCATATTATGCCTTGCTTATTTCGTTACATTCATTGCTCATTATCATTTACTTAGGCTGTTCTAGTATATTAAAAAAAATGTATAACTTAAATATTAAACTTGGAGATTGAAACTCAATTATACAAAGATACTAAATGTTTAACTTATCTTTTGGATTAACATTGTTGTTAAAGTGATAATCATTGGGTAATTTATAAATTTCTTTAAGACGTTTATGTGAAAGATAATACTCTACAAAATATAATGCATATTTTAAACAAAGTTTATAAAATCTTTTGTTTTTATATATGTTTTTAATTACAAGTAATACATGTTACCAATTAATAACATTTATAAAAAATTTTATCTTTACAGTTATGTAAAATACAGTTATGTTTTTTGAATAAGTACTAGGATTGTTATTTATGTTTGTTTTGATAATTTGTATTGAGTTTAATTTTGTTAACAAAATTTACAAAATTTTCTTAACAAAAGCATTAAAAAAGTTTTGATTTTGTCTGTTATTTGTTAAATTATTCAATTCTTTTATGCACTTTAGAATAGCACAAACATTTTTATAGAAAGGATCAAAATTCTTTTAAATAAGAAATTTATTGATACTTTTTACTATTGTTAACATGTTAAATGAAAATAGTGACATTCTAATAGATGATATTAGGCTAGATGAAACTTTTATTCCTCAAAATGACGTAAATGGTGTAAAGCGAGTTGAATATAAATGTCACTAAAAATAGGCTTAGGCGAGATAAAATAAATCATCTACAAAACGTAAGAAATGCTGCTATGCAAGCTGAAAATAACTTATACCCAAATGAAGTTATTGTAGAAATACAAGCTGAAAATAATCATCATCAAAATAAAAGAAATAGTTTACGGCAGAATGAAATTAATCATCTACAAAATGTAAGTAATGCTGCTAGGCAAGGGAGAATGCATTGTATAGCAAGAAGTAATATTTTTCTAGATTATGATTATTTAGGAGAAATGAACTTGAAGAAATTGTCAGAATTGTACTAAAAAAATTCCTAATAAAACACATTTTTTTTATCTTGTCATAATGGGATGATAGTTTTGCCTCTATTTTTAGCATTTCCACAAGCTTTACAAGATTTACAGGAAGTTATGTAGATTTTAATTCAAATATAAATTTTTAAAAGTATATTAGAAATTAAAATGCCTCTTTTTCCTTATTCTAGCTTTTTTCTAAATTAAGTGAAAATAGTGAGGTTATGTTTTATATTTTGATTAAATAAAAATGCAAATATCTATAATTTTTAAAACAATCTTTTATTTGTAACTTTAGATTCGTTAACTTATGAAAGATATCAGGCCTATCGCTCCCAACACCCGAGACCTCTCTCAGAGAGGTCCTTTAATAAGTGGTGTAGAAATTGCATATTTTGCTTTTTAATTAATAATATTTTTAATCCATTGTGATGCCTTTGAAGTTAACTAAAAGCCAACATGAAATAATGTCATTGAAGAACACTGACAAGAACTGCTGCATCACGACATCAACTGCAAAACCAAAAGCAGGTAAAAAGTTTTCCAGTTGTTTTTATTTTCTTTCTTTTATATCACTTTATCTGCTACAATTTTTTTTTAGATATGCATATGATGCATTAATGCAATATAAAAGAACAAAGATTACATATTTTCTTAATTTGTTATAAACGTATTTGATTGTGAATTAACATTTTTTGTTTGAAATGTATTTGTCATCAATTGCTTAGTTAGTAATTTATTAAGTTGTGTGCATTTAACATTTTTAAGATAACAATTTTCTTTTTTAAAGAAAAATGAATCAAGGAATACCAAAAAACTATTAACCCCTGTATAACATTATAACTGTGTAACATAAGTTAACTTCATATTAATCTTACTAACTAATTAAAGTTCATGTTATTATAAAAATATTGCAAGAAGTTACTTGATATTTTTGTTAATTTACAGCATGACAAAGTGTTATTATCAGTAATGTAGTGTCAGTAACTAAAATCTTGAACTTTGGGAATGTCGAGGAAGTTGGTTCTTTCAGAAGAAAAAGGGCTTTCTTGTTCCCAGCCTCAAATCATTCTTTGCAAAGCATCATCATTTGACATAACTATAAAAATACAAATTTTTGGAGTTTGCTCCATGTCTGGAAGTTCTCAATACCAAAAAATGCTGGGTCCATCACTGGAACACACTATTTATTTGCAAGAACATGCAATTTACTTATTTGCAAGAACACACAACTTATATATTTGCAAGAACACATAATTTATTTATTGACAAAAACACGAAATCATTTATTTGCAAGAAGACACATTTTTGGCTTCATTGAAATAAAGTTGCAAGAAAAGCAACAATAAAGAAAAGTTTTGCCTTAAATATTATGTGCAGTATCTAAATCTAATAATTCTAAATCTATATCTAAATCTATATCTAAATCTAATAATTCTAAACCAGTTGGTAAGCAATATGCATGCAGACCACTTAATATAGTTAGTGAAAAACATTGTGTGACTTTAAAGTTTTTGTACTATTCTATTTAATTGTTATTGAATAAAATGTGTAAGTTGATTTCTTATCTGATAACATAAAATCAATATACTTAAATAAATAATTACCAATTTTTTAAATATTTAATCTTAACAATTTTTTATAATATTTTTTTTGTTTCTAATAAGTAGATAAATTGAAATAAAGCAGCTTTTTGTGTGTGACTATAATTGTAATGTATAATGTTTACATTAAATTCAAAAATAATATATTAGTTACAGACAGCCCTCAGAATTAAGAAAAATGAGGTCAGCAATAAATCCCTAAAACTGTTAGAGGATGGCATCAAATCAGTAAAAAAAAATTTGACACAAAGGGGTTACCATAAAAGATAAAAAAAGATCAGCAACTTTTTTCCAATCTCAAACACTTATGTCAGATATGTCAGCATTTCCGACCTTAATTCTGTGGGCTGGTTACAAGTAAAAATATTACCTCATAGGGATCAAATTCTTTCTCTGGAAACTTTCCACCTTCTATTCTTTGAATAATGGCAATTTCTTCATCCGTCAGTATAATTTCTTCCATATTTGTTTTATCATAAACAGTTTTCCTGAAAATTATAAAGATAAAATCTTTAATCAAATTATATATATATATATATATATATATATATATATATATATATATATATATATATATATATATATATAAATATATATTAGTGATGTGCCATCGGCTAAGGCCGATTAAGGCTAATAATAGGTTTAATGTATTTAATTAAGGGTATTATAATAATTATAATACCCTTAAATAAATAAATATTAAAGGTTTAAATTACATATTCAATATGCACCTATTTATCAGAAGTGATTCGGCCTATATTATTAGTAACCAGCAACCAATCAATCAGTTTAACCATTGGCCGATTAATTGGCTGATGGCATCGGTTGATTAATCAGCATTTGCCAATATATCAGCATTGGATAATAAGCCAAATCAAACTGGTGCATAGGCATACCTTATATACACAAATTGCATACCTAATATTAGGGTATTATCTTTATAAACATACATTAAACCCTATTATTAGTCTTAATCGGCCTTAGCCGACGGCACATCACTAACATATATATATATATATATATATATATATATATATATATATATATATATATATATATATATATATATATATATATATATATATATATATATATATATATATATATATATATATATATATATATATATATATATATATATATATATATATATATATATATATATATATATAAAAGACAAAAGTCCTTTATATATTTAAAATACATAATTATTTATATTTATTTAAGAACAAAGTTCTTATTATAAAATACTTCCAGATAAATCAGAAAAAAAGTAAAACTAATATTTAATTAAAATAAACATTGTATATAATAAAAATAAAGTTAAAAAAAAAAAGTATAATAAAAAATGGATACCAGTAGTTTGGATCTTCCATTTTTGAAAGAAACTCATCCAACTGTATAAGAAAATAACTATGATTTTTGAGAATGCATTTAGAGCATTAAAAAAACAAAAAACTGTACATCTGATAACCAGTAATTTTTTATTAGATATATATACCTGATCGCCTTGTGACTTCTTGATTAATTTTTTACCATCTAAACTGTACCCAAAATGCTGATAATCTTTGTACCAATCCATTGGAATGTTACCAACTGTGTTTCGAATGTCCTTTAAACATATTTAAATATAAAAGAAAAGTAGCACCAATCAATAAGTTTTAAATGCCAAAACAAAACAGTTATTTACCTCTTCATCTGAAGTATCAACTTCATCTTGTTTCAATTGTTGCATTAATGCTCTGTTTAATTCTGCTTGTTTTTGGTTGGCTGATTCTGTTTCATTATTTTTATTTTGCATGATTCTTGAAATTTTTATTTCATCATCAGAATCATCTTCGTCTTCATCAGCTGACTTTAAAAAAAGAATAATAAAAAAAGACAATCCAACAAAAAACTTTTGTTAACTTCACATTCATTATCCATTTATAATTCAAAACAAGCAAAAAATTACATATATTCACTTAATAATTGTTTTCCTTCATTATGTTTCTTTCTATTGAATTGTTTTGCTTGATTCTGATTATCATATTCATTTAAATTTAACAGGTGCAGTAACTTTATCATTGTAACTGATTTAAATTCAATAACCATTGAAACCATTTAATAATCAAGTAGAATAACCAAAGCAGAATATTGTGGTCAATAAAATTCCCTTTTATTTTTTAATGGCTTTTTACCAGTAATAAAATCCCTTATAAAACACTGGTAGTTCAAGTAATGGATCATAAAACATTGGTAGTTCAAGTAATGGATTATAAAACATTGGTTCAAGTAATGTACAAATGTTGCACAACCATTTTAAAAAAAATGATTTTGCTTCTCAGTTCATGCAATGGATTGTATTATTGATAATTGGAATGTATTATTAATAAATAATTATTAATTATACAAAATTTTGTTAAATTTCAATCTGATCGCATTTAATTAAGTTATTTATTTTTTCTATTAATTCTCATAAGACGATGTTCATAAAAATGCAATGTTAACAAGTATAAATTGCTATAAATTTATTTAAATTTCTTATGATACTTGTTGCACATGAAAGTTTATATACAGTGAGAACAGAATTTAATCGTACAAAGTAATTTTTCCATTTTATTTTGCTAAAACTTGTTTTTAACTTGAATAATATTGATAATAATTGAAACATTTTTTTTTTAATTTATCATGACTATTACTTATTTATAATTTTTTAGTAAATATATAAGAAAATGAGTTTACTATACAATTTTTGCTTTTTCTCAAACAGGTATTAAATTGCATGCACATAAATTAATTGTACAAAACTGTTTTATTGGTAATTTGTTATGAAAATGAATGTTTATAATTTTTTTAATTTATAAAACATCAATTTTATTATTGACTTAGTATTTCTAGAACATTATTTTTAGCAATTAATAAAATTTTGGAAGAAAAAGACATTAAAAACTGTTTATTGTACGGTATGGCACCCAAAGGTAAATATTTAAATACTACTCAATGAAAACTTGTTATAGACTTGGTTAAACAAGGAAATACTTATAGAAAAGTTGAAGAACTTACAGATATTCCATTTACAACAGTAGGAGACATTGTAAAGAAATATCAACAATATGAAACTTTTGAAATTCATACTGGACGAGGGCGAAAACGGAAGACAAGTTCAAGAGACGATAGAGAAATTTTAAGAATGATAAAAAAAAATCGGTTTGAAACTGCAAAAAATATAGCAAATCATTTGAAACACTTAACAGGAAACACAATCTCACTTACATCAATTAGAAATCGCATTCATAAAGCAGGGTTCAGTGGATGTATAGCTCGTAAAAACCATTTTTAACAAAAAATCATATGAAGAGAAGAATGAACTTTGCAAAAAAGTATTATTTAATGCCTGTATCATTTTGGAAAAAAGTTCTTTGGTCTGATGAATCCAAGTTTAACTTAAAAAAATCTGATGGTGCACAAAGAGTTTGGCGAAAGAGGAGTGAAGCTTTTCATTTAAGTTGCACACGAGGAACAGTTAAACATGGCGGTGGAAGTGTAATGTTATGGGGTTGTATGGCATGGAATGGTGTTGGTAAACTTGAGTTTATTGATGAAACTATGAATGCTAATTTCATAAAAATATATTGAAACGAAGTTTAAAATCTTCTGCTAAAAAGCTTAGATTGGGAAATACTTTTTTGTTTCAACAAGACAATGATCCAAAACACACTGCTAAAAAAACTAAAAGCTTTCTTAATGAAAATGGCATAAACATTTTAGAATGGCCTTCGCAGAGCCCTGATTTGAATCCAATAGAGCATTTATGGACTTTATTATTTAAAAAATTAGGCACTAGATCATTTATAAAAAAAGAAGATTTGAAGAAAGCTATTGTTAAATCACGGTCTAACATCGACAATAATCAAATTAAGTGTCTAGTAGAATCAATGCCAAAACGCTTGTTAGATGTAATTAAAGCAAAAGGAGGACCAACTAAATATTAAAGTATATTATTAAAATATAAAAACTTGAAACTGTTTCTCATTTATTTTAATAAACTAGTATTTTTTCTTAGCTTTAATCTATAACGCTTTTTTTGTACAATTATTTTATGTGCTTGTGTTTTTATCCCTTTCTTCATTTTAAAATTCCTAATCAGGTAATTTAAATACTGAAGTAAAAATTTTACTTTTTTTTTAAAGGTCTTTTAACAAATAAAAAATTAGAGAAAAAAAAAAGTCTTTATAATTAGTGCATGTTACAATATTTTATTTAAAGGTGTTAATTTTATTAAAAAATTACTTTGTACAATTAAATTCTGTTCTCACTGTACATTTGTAAATAAAGTTTATATACATTTGTAAATAAAGTTTATATACATTTGTAAATAAAGTTTATATACATTTGTAAATAAAGTTTATATACATTTGTAAATAAAGTTACAAACTTTATATAAAGGCATTTAGTTACTAAATCTATTTGTACTATAGGAGTACAATACAATATAGGAGTCAGTCTTATTTTAAACAATAGCGGAGATTTCTATATCAAAAAAGGTTGGTAGACCTAGTAAGTACTAGTATAAGTTGTAGTACTAGTATAAGTCTCAATATTAAATGTCTTATTTCTTTGATCTATGTCACTGTGAATAAATCATTAAAAAATGTTTTATGATCTAAGTACTAAGTACTGGATGTTCTATTGGATTTAAGGTATATTTCAGTTGTCACTTTGAAGAATACTGCCACTAAAAAAAGTAGACATCTATCTTGTTTAAATGATATCATTGAGCAAACATCTATCTTGTTTAAATTGAGAAACAAAGAAAATCCTTCTTAGTATTTTTCTTTATTTAGTTTCCATTTCACCAATTAAAATTAAACAAAAGAATAGCTAAATATTCTTTCGACGCATTGAAAGAAGTTGAAATTACATCAAATATAAAAGAATTGAAATAAAACTTAAACATTGTAATGACGCACCATAGTGATATTAAAACTGTTTTGGTTTTGTTTTAAGGACTATTATTAGTGCTAGATGTATAAATCGGATGATATCATAACTAACCTTTATTTCAAAATTTTCTTTGCTCATACTTTTTTATTTCATCAAAATATATCAGTTTGAAAAGTAAAATGTAATTTAATGTTTAAATTTTCATTCAATGAATAGAAAAACACTGCATTGCAAAACATTTTACAGCAGTTTTGAACATTTTAAAACTGTTAAGAAAACTACTAATAAAAAATTGTACATATAGATAATTGGCATACTAGACATAATTTTAGCTAAGGTTTATTAAAGTTATTATTTAGTATATTATTTAATAATAAAACTCCTCTAAGTGTAAGGACCGGTTTAAGCAACCAAGATCAAATAATGTTTATAGCCAATATTACTACCTTGGAATAAATATGAAAAAAATTAGAATAAATAGAGAAACAGTCAGGTTTAATCGTTATGAGGTTGTTCAAAATCATGAAAATAAAATAGAACAGAATTATATTGAGGAAATAAGAAGAAAAAACCTCCTTCATTTTCATAGCAAACTAATTTCACATTTGTATAAGGAAAACCAACAAACAGTTACAAGAGATAGAATAGCTGTGTCTGTTGCTGGTCCTGAATTTCAATACAAGAACGATCTTCTTTTAGGAATTATTCCAAGTGACACAGGTAAAACATCTGATCTAGTAATTCAAAATTTGTTAAAATATTTTGAAGTTTCAGACCAAGTATTTGCTGTATGTGTTGGCACTACAGCAATCAACACTGGTAGGAAAAAGGGTGCAGTAATAATATTGACAAGAGTATTGCAGAAACCTTTATTGTGGCTATTATGTCAGCACCACATACATAAATACATCTTAAACATATTTACAAATCAAGAACTGGAAACACAATCAATCAATCATCAATCAATCAATCATATATATTCTAAAAATAAATTTTCACGGCTATTTACAAATAGTATTTAAATACTAATCTCAAGTAAATACCTTAAAAAAATAATTTATATATACAATTAACCTTAGCAATAACAATAATAATAACAATAATAATAGTAATAATAATAGTAATTATAATAATTTAAATAAACCAGTAATACTTTCTATACAGCAATCGTTTTTACATACAAAGTTACAGTTACAAACAGTAATAAACTGACAAAATGTAACAGCTAACGATGACAAAACAACCAATGTTAAAAAAATTATAAAGATTCAGTATATATATTAATATAATGTTAAATATATATTATTATAATCATAGTTGTTAAAATATAGTAATCAAAATATATTGCAAATATTATGACCAAATAAATAAATAAAATATAAACAGAAAACACTGAGAAAATAAAAAAAAAAAACAAAAGTTACAACAAACATGACAAACAAAGCAAAAAATTTTGACAAAAGAACAAACCTTAAGATTAAAAAAAATAATAATAATAATCGCTAAAATAAAACATATATAATAAATGGCTAAAATAAAAATAAAAACAAATAATATATAACTGTATAAAAATTCATATATCACTAAAAATGAATAATTAACAAAAAAATAAAAATAAAAAAATAACTAACAAAAAATAATAAAACTATATACTCAGAAGAAAAACAAGTAAATAATAGAATAAATAATCCAAAGAAATATATAAACAAATATAAAAAATCTTTGCCAAACGATGTTTCAATGATTAAATTTTTTTTTTATCTATGCCATTATTTTTATATATATTTCATTCATTAAAGTTTTTTTTAACTCCTATTTTGATTACTTTTTTACTTTTTTTTTTCCAGATATTTCTTTTTCTTTTCTTCTTTATTCTTCTTACTTTTCTTTTTTGTTGGTTTTATTTTTCATTTAATTTATAAATGTTTTCTTTTTCCTTTTCCTTTTTTGCCTTTCAAAAAGTTTTTTCAACTGTTTAAAAAAAACGTCCACCATTTGCGATGTCATTGCAATGGAATACAGCCTTTGACAGGAATGGCATGCAATTGTACTCTGTAACTGACCATTTTATTATACTTTTTTCTTTACAACTTGACCATTTTGATGTTTTAACAATTTAAATGCAATAAAAAGTGTTACATTATTATTTTTTATGATAAATTTAAACGTTTGAAACGCTTAAATTTATCATTAAAAAAATAACTGTTTTTTTTTTCAATTACAATAGGAATGAATGAGTTTAAATCTTTTAAAATAATTTCTAAATTCGTTATGTGAAGCACTTATTAATAAAGTTGTAATGCTCAAATTAAAATTAAATTAAATTGCTTGTTGGCAGTTTATTTTATTTAAATCGCAGGTGCATTTTATTTATTTATTTATTTCCTATTTATACAAATAAAAAAAGTTGAAGACCTTTTTTTTAGCTGGAACTAATTAGAGCATGAAATTATTAAAAATTACTATTTGAAAAAGACTACATTATTTTTTTAAATAAATTTTTTTTTTGCAACTTTTTTGAAAATTTTTTTATACAATTTAAAATATTATATACAACACTTTTTAATAAACTTGATAAAACTTGTTTATTTATTAAACAATCGTTAGTAGTAATTTGTTACTTAATTTAAAAGCTTTTTGCGTAACTTTATTAAAACGTATAAAACGTATAATTTAGACCTTCCTATATTTATGAATGGTAATGTACTCGATGAGTCATCTACCCTTCATCTTCTAGGATTAACTCTCATTTCTGATCTTTCTTGGAAAAAATCCGTTGCAAAATTAACATCTGCTAAAGTTGCATCTCTTTATCGAGCTCGACACTTTCTTACTCTGGATTCTATTCTCTATCTCTATAAATTTCAAATTCGACCTTGTATGGAATGCTGTTGCCATATCTGGGGCGGATCTTCTAATGATACCCTTTCTCTTTTAGACAAGGTGCAAAAACGCATTGTAAACATAGTTGGACCTGCTTATGCAGCCAACCTTCAACCTCTGTCACATTGTTGTAATGTTGCTTCTCTTTCTCTTTTCTACAAATACTATAATGGGCACTGCTCTAAAGAGCTAGGGTCTCTTGTGCAATCTACTAAAATTTATTCTCGTGTTACTTGTTATTCAATTAAGTCTCATCCTTTTTCTGTTACTGTTCCTAAGTGCTCCAAAAACTCTTATTCGTCTAGTTTTTTTCCTTGAACATCAGTTCTTTGGAATTCGCTTCCTTAATCTTGCTTTCCTGATTCATATAATTTGCAATCTTTTAAGTCATCTATCTATCGTTATCTTGCTCTACAACCTTCGTCTTTTCTTTTCCAGTAACTTCCAACACTAATTAGTGGTTGCTTGCAGCCTTGTTGGAAGCGAAGATGTTAAAAAAAAAAAAAGTTTCAAACGTACTTAAAAACATAACAAAAAGTTTTGCTTTAAGTTTAAGTTTTTATTTTCATTCTAGTGCCTATATAATTTCTTTTTCGTAACGAACTTTTTTTCGTTTCTTTTTTCGTTAGGGTTTTTTTTTTCTGTTAGTTTCTTTTTTTCAACTTTTTTCCTAGTTTAAGTTTAGATTAGCGTTTCTAGATTCAGCACGTTTTTGAAATATTTAAATCATCAAAATATTTAAACAATTGTGGTCAAGTTGTCAAGAAATAAAATCATTTGTGTATTCAGCAATAGCGCTCGATCGCACACCATTCCTGTCCAAGCCTGAAGATAACATCAAGAATCCATGAAAGACCTTTTACTCCAACTTCAAGAAGCAATGAGAAAATTTGGTCACATTTTTATCTACTTATGGTGGCTCTTCTAGTTTTAAAAAGTTTGATGAGAATACTCTCATAATTAGTTTTGGAATTTATCAGATACACTTGGAGGCAAAGACATGAAATTTCTTCTTGAATTTGAGATTTTTACCCGAGATGTTTACAGGCATCTTGTGAAATGCTTAACTTTCTATCTTAATATTCAGTCTGAAAAGTTAAAAAATTTTAGAATTCATCAACTAGGTACCTGTCATGAAGCTAGATTCATGGCAGATGCACTATATCACATGGCTTTGGAATTGACATCGCTAGTTATAAAATACTTAAATTAGCAGATTCTAGCCTCTAGAGTTTATCTAATGATTGTTACTGCAGTATGGAATAGGCGTAAGTTGCGGGGTAAAGCATAAGTGGCGATGACGTTTGGCTGAGGGGATAAACTAGTTATAAATGCTGATCCTCATTGAAACGCCAGTAATAATAGACATGACTCTGAGGAGATGTTTATTACTTAATCACTACACAAATTATGTTTACACATTAGCATTAATGTTTTTTTTCCATTATTAAATGCCTCTCTGTTGTTATCAGATTTTTTATTTTGTGATCCGTTTTTTGTTTTACAAGTTTTTGTCTGGTGATATATATCTTTGTTCATATTGGTGTTTATAAAACAATTTTTTTATTTTTTTTTTTAATTTATTTTTATTGTTATTATTGTTGTGGGTGTATAGCCTGTCTTATTTATTTTTAAATATTCCTCTAATTAATTTTTATTTTTGTCTTGACAACTGTCAAAATATGCTTTGTCTAATAAATAATTCTCCTTTATTCTAATGTACTTTATTTCTTCCCTCAGACGTTCACTGCTCGTGTGTGACCATTTGGCAAATTTTATATGCCAAAGTTTTTAAATAATATTGGGCCTAGCCCGTAAGGGTTAGTGTTACGGTCATCGAGCACGACTATTTTCCTAATCGCAATTACTGTCACCGCAAAAGAGGATGCTTCAGGATTTTTAAAATCCAGTCATGCTGAACATTCAGTATTTAATGACTTCAATTCATTTAAAGTAGCAAAAACCATAAAGGAGGAATGGGATATTGATGTAGGAACTTCACTTTTAAATAGTTTAAAATCTCATATCTTTCGTCTAAAGCAGTAGTCATGGTTCTTGCTGATTCTAACTTTGATATTCAAATAAAGTCTGACATTTCGAAGGCCTTGAAGCACAAGGTTCCTGACATTAGTGAAATTAATAAAGAAAAAACCACTTCCTGATTTAGTAGATGAAAATGCTAAACTTTGTGAACTAGTTACATGTGTAAACTGGTTTCTTTTTGTCGTTTTAAAACAACCCAGCATTGTTTTAGTGGATTTGCAGTGGACCTGTATAGACATTTTTTAGCAGTTCTTTGGAGCTCATCAGTTATTTATTGGAACATTAATGGTAGCTGCTATAAAGGTAAGCCAATAATTTTTTGTCATTTTTAAAGTGGCTAGTCATTGGGTGTCCACTTTTGGCGGCTGCCACTAATGGTCTACTAAGTAAGCGATGAGAAAAACTATAGCGATCCGCTCAAAAAGTCTATATAGGTCAACTGAAACTCAGCTATAGAATGTTTGCTGGTAAATATTTGGTTGGAAGCATGCCAGAATAAAGAAGGCTTAGACTCAATACCCTCGTACAAAAAATTTGTCCTTTTTTGTCAAACACCTCAGTGTCACAAATGATTATTCTGAAAAAAGCATTGGACTAATACAAAAGTTTCTTCACACTCTGAGAATCAGACACAAAACATTTTGCTAGTTGTTCAAGAAAACCAAATACAGATTTCAAAGAATGTTTATCAGAAAGATTTTGTTAATTTAAAATAGATATTGTTATTTATTATATTATTGTAAATGCAAACATACATTATTTGTTTAACTTTTTTGATTATTATCTCAGACTGAAGTTAATAATACTAATAATATAAAACAGTAATTATACAACGTATGCTTTATGCTTAAACCATTTGCTATTAGAACAACTTTTTAATTCTGGATACAAAAAGACTTAATTGTAGCTTTGAAAACAATTCTTGAAAATTATTTACTTTGTACATTTTAAACCATAACCAAATTAAAAAAAAAAAAAAAAATTTTTTTTAATTTTTTAATTGATAAAATCCAAGGAGAGTTTTTGTGCAAAACTTTAGAAGATAATTAAGCAAAATCATTGGCAAATCATTTTTTACTAAAATTGGGGAAAAGAACTTTTTGTTTGTCTTTTTTTAAATCTATTTCAAAATTCTATTTAAAGTATGTTATCTGAAGAGTAGTTTCTATCAGAAATATGTTATCCAAAAAGTAACTTTTTTATATATAAAAAAAAAAAAAAAAATTATAAATATAGTTTTTAAAATAGTAAAACAATATAAGAGAAATTAAAAAATGATATACTTATTTAGTATTGATTTAAAAATAAAATAAAATTGAGAAAAACCTGAAAAAACAGGGTGACAGGGTAGTATCAAAATAGGGTTGTAGGTGGGTGCATCAAAAGCACTTTTAGTGATGTGCTATTATGCAGTGGCCACTTAAAAAAACATGGCATCTTTGTTGAAAGCCTAAAACTCTATAAAAAGGATCTATAATTGAAAATCCACCAATTTTTAACCAATCAATCATAAATTAATCAAAGTGAATCCAGTAAAAAAACATAACAACACACTTAATGTTAAATGCAATACATATGTATAAAATAATTTTATAAATTAAAGAAACCTGATTTATTTCTTCATCAGATGAGTAATCAGAATCACTAGAACCTTCATCTTCTAATCCAGAGTAAACACTGTCTTCACTCTCACTTAAATCATTGCCATAAAGTTTATTGTTCAAAGTTTCTTTCTAAACAAAAGGTTTCTAAAATATAAAGCAATTTCCCTTTTTACAATAATATGATATAAGCAATACCAATGCCCAGTGGTCCACATCATCAAATAAATTTTGTTAAATTTAAAATCAAATCTTATATGGTATTTTTAAAAAAAGTTACGTTTTTAGGTTCTGTAAATATATTTAGGTTCCATAGGTATTTTAACATTTTTAATATTTATTAAATGGTATTTGAAGTTCAAAAGTAAACTTAAATTTTGAGGGCAGACTTTTATGCCAAACAATATTCAATTGGTACAAAGATCTTACCAACTTTACGGAAAAAAACACATACTGAAACTTTTTAGTCCCTGTGTATTAAGGTGTTAAAAGTTCAAAACGTTCAGAGATCAGGAGGTAATCCACTGGTATTTAGGGTGGTAGTCCTCCTATCAAAGACCAACTCACCATTGTTAGAGATATAAATACAAAGAAAAACTAACATGGAAATGGAGTTTTTAAAGCAGGAAAATTGGCCAAGTTTAGGACCAGGAAATCATACGGGCTCAACATGACTACATGTCTTACATGATTGGTGTCTTACATGATTGGTGTGGTAAAATTTCGAAAGTTTTGTTATTTCTTAATACCAAAATACAGACAAATAAATTAGAGTATTTTAGACATCTTGAGATAGAGTTAGAAAAAAATAAAGCACTTGAGAAAAAAATATTAAAAATGGAAAATGACTGTCTGCAGAAAGGGTTAGAAACACGTATTGTGGTACAAGAAGATGAAAAAGACTCCAGAGAATCATTGCCAAAACAATCGTACTCAGATGCTATAACAAGTAAAAATTGGTCTACCTCTTCTTCTAAAACGAAATCCCCAGTTGAACAATTAATTGTTGTAAATGCAGCTATTAATGAGCAAAAAAATAGAGAAAAAAGAAGAAAAAATATTATTGTCTATGGCCTTCCTGCATTTAAAAAAGCTACATTGCAAGACCAACATGAGGAGGATAAAGAACAAATTAGTAAACTATTTCATGAAATAAATGTAGAAATCGTTCCAACATTCCAAAAAAGGCTAAATACGAAACAAACTGGAAAACCGGGACCAGTATTAGAGATTTTAAATGAAGATTCTGAGAGAAATCCAATTTTAGCAAAATCTAAATTATTAAGAGAAAAGCAAGATTACAAGGAGGCTTTTATTTCGCCTGATTTAACTGAAGCAGAGAGAATGGAAAACTATGAGCTTAAAAAGAAACGTGACAAAATGAATGGTGAAAGAATAGCAAACTCGCCCTTTAGATATGCGATCCGTGGAAATGGAATTGTCAAATTTAAAATACAACTTAACACAACAACATAAAAAATTAGTAAGTTTGTTATCATTTAATGTTTTATATACGAATGCAACATCTTTAGTAAACAAAGTTGAAGAATTTAAAATCTTATGCAGTTTTAAAAATCCTCAAATAATTGCTATTACAGAAACCTGGTTTAATGAGATATCGGAAATTTATTTGGAAGGATATTCTTTGTATAAACGAAATAGGGAAGAGGAGGAGGGGTTGCCCTATATATAGATGGCAACTTATGAGGTAAACGAAGGTATATTATTATAGAAGTAAAATTGAACAAATTTGGATCATTATAGTTGCAAACGATAAAAAATATTTAATTGGTTGCGTGTACAGACCAAACGAACGAGTAGATATGCTTGAAATGAGTCAAATATTCACAGAAGCTTGTAAATTAGTAGAAAAAAATAATTTTGCAGATTTGTTAGTTATTGGTGATTTAAATTTTCCAAATGTAAAATGGTTGAATGAATACGTGAGTGATATTTTAGTAGGTGAAGATTCTGTTGAAAATGAATTTATTAATATTATATATGAATGTTTTTTGTTCCAACACGTATCAATCCCAAACTTTCAAAATGCACAATATGTTACAAAAAATACCTTGGATCTTGTTTTTACAAAAAACAATGAACGAATCTATCAACTTGAGTCTAATCCAGTTCTAGGAAATATAAATCATGGACATTTGGTTTTAACTTGTAAATTTAACCTTGAAATAAGCCTAAGTATTGACAAAATTGACTGGAATTATTTATTTGATGGGTTATCAGTTCAATTTATGTATGATCTGTTTATTGAAAAAATTAGTCAATCATGTAATGCTTTTATTCCAATAATTGACGTAAATTCAAGAAAGAAAAGAAAAAATAATCCATGGTTTACTGATGAAGTAAGTCTTCTAGTACGTTCAAAACAAAATTCGCGTTATCAAAATTTATCATCGAACTGGAAAGATTTGAATAAAGTAATGAAATATAAAAATATTTGCAAAACTGTGAAAATAGAATCGCATAAAGCAAGATGTAACTATGAAAATGATCTTGTTGAAAAATCAAAAGTAAATTCGAAACTGCTATATAAATATGTGAATAGTCAAAAAACGATTAAACAAGTAATTAAAGCATTAAAAGATCAAACTGGTTGTGTAACAAATGATCAAAATGAAATTGTTGAAGTTTTAAATAAACAATTTCAAGATGTGTTTACCAACGAAAATTATACAGAAGAGCTTCCACAAATCGAGAATTTAGGGGATATTATTATTGATGCAGTTAATATAGATTATTTTGATGTTTTAAGTAGATTGAAACATGTTGATATCAATAAAACATATGGAGTTGATTCTATACATCCGTTGATTTTGAAAAATTGTGCGGATTCCGTAGCATTGCCATTAACTTTAATTTTTATAGAATCTTTTGTTAAAAGTGAACTACCAACTCAATGGAGAGCAGCAAATATTACACCACTATTCAAAAAGGGAGATAAATTAAAAGCTGCAAATTATAGACCAGTGTCATTGACGTCAATTACTTGTAAAATTATGGAAGGTATAGTCAGAGACTGCATACAATCATATTTAATGAAATATAAATTAATATCGAAGTCACAACATGGCTTTGTTAAAGGGAAGTCTTGTACAACAAACTTATTAGAGGCGTTGGATTATATTTCATTTAATTTATCGATTGGTATTTCGGTAGATGAAGCACTTTTAGATTTTGTTAAAGCTTTTGATTCTGTTGCTCACAAAAGACTATTGATTAAACTATCTTCATATGGAATTAGTGGTTTATTATTAAAATGGATTGAAGCTTTTTTAAAAAACAGAATCCAAAGAGTTATCCAAGGTGATGTTGTTTCTTCATGGCGCAAAGTTTTCAGTGGTGTTCCGCAAGGATCCGAAATAGGGCCCTTATTATTTGTTATTTTTATTAATGATATATCAAATATATTTAAAAATAAGTCAGAATTGCATGCAGATGATACAAAAATGTTTTCAAAAGTAAATAAAATAAATGTGGAAAATAGCTTGCAAAAAGATCTGGATAGTGCAGAGGAATGGTCTAAAAAGTGGCTCTTGGGTTTTAATTCTAGTAAATGTGTTATAATGCATTATGGTATAAATAATCCGCAATTGAAATATACTTTAAATGGTGTTGAACTGAACGATTCTGAATGCGAGAGAGATTTAGGTGTTTATTTTTCAACAAACTTGAAATGGAAAAAACAAATTATATCGAGTACTTCTAAAGCAAACTCAATGATGGGTATGTTAAAGATGACATTTTCACGAATTGATGCAAAATTGGTTAAAACATTGTATAAGGTATTTATTAGACCTCTTATTGAGTTTGCAGTACCTGTTTAGTCACCTTATTTTAAAGGAGACATCACTTTTGGAAAAAGTTCAACACAGGATGACTAGATTAGTTCCATCATTAAGGAAAATTAATTATGAAAAGAGAAAAGAGATTGGAAATATTAGATATATCTACATTGAAAACAAGGAGAAAAAGTAGGGATTTAATACAAGTGTTTAAATTACTTAACAGATTTGAGGAAATTGATTTAATTAATGAACCGAAGCTTAAAATTGAATCAATTACTCGAGGTCACAATCTTAAATATGAAAAAGAAATTGTGAACTATTTAACTTGGCATCATTTTTTATTAAATCGTACAGCCAATTTATGGAACGCTTTACCGGAAACTGTTGTTACTTCAAAAACTGTCAATCAATTTAAGAATAGATTAGATGAGTATAACGCCAAATCAAAGAAGTTTTAACTAAACATTTTTAATATATATTTGGATTAATGCTGTCAAAGTGTGATAAACCACACTTGCTGGATTCATCCAGTTATAGTTTAACTACTAACTAACTAACTATACTTTGTAACTAAAAAAGAGTAATTCCAAACATATAGATTAAACTTTAATGTAGGTTCCCCCTCCACACAACCAAAATACTCAATAAATAAATGAATTATAATAATTAAATAAATTACAATAAATCAAATAAAATTTTATTGATTCCATTCTTGAAAATGAATTATGAAATACTTAGTAATAATAACAGAATATAAGATTCGAAGTTATATTCAAAAATAACCCAATAAGCCCCCAGTATATTACTGGTTACTGATAGATGTTTTATGGTATCCAGCAGGGGTGTCATATACAAAATATATAAAAATATCATAAAAAATATCCAAATTTATGTACTTATCTAATTAGGCTAGTTCCTGGATGATGATGATGATGATGATGTCATTATCATCATTACAAATTTTTTTGAAAATGTGAACAAATGAAATGTATTGATAAATAAAATTATATAATTTGAAATTCTTAAAAAATTAATTAGTAAAAGAATTTTTTTTTTGAAAAATATAAAGAGAAAAAAACAACCTTTTCTTCAGCAACAGTTACTTTACTTTGTTTTTTTGGCATGATTATTATTTACTAAGATTCTAAAAAGTATATCCAACATTTAAACAATTGAAAATTTTTTTTTTCAAATAAATATAATCCAATAATATGATTATAACAATTAAAATAAGAATAAGAAAAATAACTAAATAATAATTAAAACCTTTATTGATTATGATAATAAAAAAAACTAAATTAAAAAATCGAGCAATAATAAAACATTAAAATATTATAAACAAAAATAAAAAAAGATTTTTATAAAGAAATTAAAATAATTTTCCTAAAAATTTCTGAAAAAACATTTAAGGCAAACTTCTAAACAAAAAAATTTGAAACTGAAAAATAAAAAACTTTAAAGCTAAATTTTGAATTTCAAAAAATTTTAGTGTAAAAATTTAGCATAAAAAAAATAATAGTATAAATAATAACATATAATAAATATAAATAAATTCAAATTAACAAGCATTAAACAAAAAAACAACAACAAAAAAGCTTATATGATTAGGGGGTGATACTTTACATAAAAACATTAAAAAATGCAATAAAAAATTATAGAAATAAGTAAAGGTATCAAAAATCAGCTTTATAATATATTAATTTTTTGATAACTTTCTTTATGAAGGTCTGCGCAAGGATGATATAATTTTTTACAGGATGAATACACAAAAATACATATAAATAATATTATATTAATTATTATAACAAATATTATAAACATAATAAATATTATTAAAAATTATTTTTTATTTTTTAATTTTTTTTTTGCTGTTGCTTCGATTGCTTTTATTACAAAAGATAGAGAATTGTCTTCAGCAGGAGAGGCTGCAGGCTGTAAAAAAAAAATAAAAAAAAGAAAGAACTTCAAAAGACAATTTAAATGCAATACATAAAAAGTGTTAAAATTACATAAACAATGTGAAATAAATTTCTGCAAAAACATACCTTCACAACAGCAGTTGGAGTTTCATTACCAAATGATATCCCAAGAGACTTCAATTGTTCTTGATATTTTAGAGCTCGATCATCTGTTTTAATAAAAATATTGGATTAAACAACAAACTAATTTGAATTATTTTTTAAAAATAGTTTTCATCAGTATCTAAAATTGAAATACACAAACACACACACACACATAAAACAAAGTTTGATTACATTTAAAGAGCATATGCTTCCGATATACTAATACCAGCAATAATAAAAAATCAATATTTATAACTTTTATAACAACTTCTACTAAGACTTCTACTTCTATAACAACAACAACAACAACAACAACAACAACAACAAGAACTACTATAGGAAACACTATAAAAAAATTTTTATAAATAAAATTTATATTTTGTTTATATAATAGGTGATGCGGAAATTATCTGACAAATCTGAATTTAATTATTTGAGCATAGTTTTTATGGTTTTATGCCTAGATATAAACGGTCTATAAAATATAAACTTTATTATTAAAACACAATTATTTCAAATGAGGTTAGATGCAGCAGAACAAGAATCTTTTCAAAAGCGACTCGAAATGTTTTTGTAAATAAACCCATTATATTTAAGAAAAAAAAGAAATCGCAAATCATTTTGAAAAGGAAGGATTTGCTTGAAGTACAATACAAGTACAATACCTAAAAAGACTGTTCAATTCTTTTCATACAGAAAGCACCCTGATCGTCCAACACTCTTGACTAGAGAAAAGCCCTGATCGCCCAGCACATACAGAAAGCACCCTGATCGTCCAACACTCTTGACTAGAGAAAAGCAAGCAAAATGTCAACAATCAAAAAGAAGTCAGTCAGAGAAAAATAGGTTTTAAATTTGGTGTAAATCAATTGACAATTGGTTGTCAATTAAAAAAATGAATATTAAATATAGAAAAAATGAAAAGACTCCAAAACACACTATAGAACAACAATTAATGGAAAAGAAAACATGCAGAAAACTAGTTAACTAACTCTATAACACAAAATTGCTTCTGGTCATTGATGACGAAAAATACTTTTGTTTTGCAAGGGACAATATGCCTGGAAATTCTGGATACTACACAAACAACAAAAAGCCATGCGTAGAAAGTATTTGTTTTATAAGAAAAGAGAAATTTCAGAAAATATCATTAATGTGGACAGCCATATCTGACAATGGTATGTCCAACCATTGTTTTTTACTTTTTAAAGGCTGTAGCAATTAATTCATCAATCTATATTGATGAATATTTAGTAAAACAACTTCTTCCATTCATTCACAAGTATCACAGAGACTTAAACTATTTATTTTGGCCAGATTTAGCAAGTTCTCATTATTCTGAAGATTATTTAAATTAGATGAATATGTCTACTACGCTGATAAAGAATTCAATCCCCCAAATGTGCCTCAAGCACGACCAATTGAAAACTTTTAAGGACATTTGGCACAGAAGGTTTATTAAGGAGACTGGCAAGCTTCAACAGAGCAAGTTTTGATTGATCAAATTAAATTGTTTTAAACAAATCACTTTAAAAAATAATTTATTTTTAATAAAATATAAATGCTTTATTTAAAAAAAATATTATAATTGTTTTTTTTTCATTTATAAATAAGTTATTGACATTTTATTTTGTCCGATAACTTATGCATCACCTGTTGTTATATATATTTTGTTTATGCTTAACAAATATCATACCAATTTTTGTTCTTTTCTTAGGTGTTGGTGCAGTCTGATTAACTTCAAAAATTTCTTTTATTATTTTCCTTTTTTTTTCTTTAGCCTCTATTAATGGATCAACTTTAGGTTGCATTAAGCCAGTATTGAACAAACAAATTCTACCATACATATTCTTCTTTATGTATGTTGAACCTCTATCCAATTTATCAATCAATTTCTTCCGAGTTTCCTCATCAACAAACTAAAAACAAAACTTTTTTAATTTAAAGATACAAAAAAACAAAACAAAAAAAAAAAAAAAAAAAATTGTTGAAAAATTTTATTTAAAAATTAACTTTTTAAAATTTCATTTTATTATTCTGTGATTTTTTTGAATATTTATGTCAACTATTTTATTACATTTATATACAATATTTACTATACTTATATTATATATTTGCTACAATATTTCTTATACCTTCCTCATGCTATCAAAAACACGACTTCCAAACTTGTCACATACTAAAGTATCTAAAGTCGACAGCATTGTATTAGCCATGTTATTTTTTTTTTTAATAGGTATGTCAACATTTTGGAAAAAACTCTCAAAAGCAAAACTTCCGCTTGGATGGCAGGCAATGCAAATTAGTTCTTCAAATGAAAGACTCATAAAACTAGAAACAATGAGTTTACTTTTTTTGAAAGAGAGACACTGCTTCAACAAACATGCACCATGATAATTAATGTCACTTTTCACCAATTTACGTTTTTCTTCTGATGTTTTTGAATCTTTATCAGTTGTAAGATTGTCAGTTTTAAAGTATACATCATATGTTATAAGTGATAGAATTAATTGCACCAATGATTTTGAATTTTCTGATTCACACATAGGAATATGAAGTGCTGATGATAATGATTTAATAAAAAGTTTTTGTTTTTCAATCATTTTTAAACGAGAAATTGTTTCAGCTCCTTTTACAACACAACCCATGTGCCCTGCAGCTAAAATATCTTCTATGTACTTTATTAGCTTATTAATTATGAGCTCTGTCTATATAAGAAAAAACAACAACAACATATTACTAAAAGTGAAAACTTTGATGTAGATAATTATTTTGCAAATTGAATCAAAAAAATAAATACATATATATATATATATATATATATATATATATATATATATATATATATATATATATATATATATACATACACACAAATTGCGTACTAAGGTAAGCAATCTGACGTCATACTGAAATAGCCTGCTGCTGGGGGCTTCAGTACATACATCGACTGACAAATAGCCTGACTCGCAGTGGAGTGATGCTACATCGACTGAGGGTTTGGGATGGGGCAGCAATCGTTTCATTCATCATTCTTCTTTTTTTTTCTTTTTTTTTTTCTTAAAAAGCCCTATGGATAAAGGTAAGCAAATAAAGTGAAATACGTAATCAAAAATACCAAATCAAAAAATACCTGATCTTTTTTGGTAACTTTCCTCATGAAAGCCTGCGCAATATAGTTTGCGACAGGATGAATACATAAAGATACAAAAATATAATTAAAACATTTTGTTGCTAATTTGTCTAAAAATTCTTCATTTGCAGTTTCGACTATTGCTTCTAACAAGTGACTACCAACTTCATCAGTTGGAACAACTGGCAAGCTATTAGAACAAAAATATATCAGAACAAAATGCAAACATTGTATAAAAGTAAAAAAAAACTACAACCATTAACAAATATGAGTTTAAATCAGGCTACATATAATTTTTATTCCAATCTCTACCTCTCCTTTTCTTTCTATAAATATACATACATGCATATATACACCCTAATATATATATATATATATATATATATATATATATATATATATATATATATATATATATATATATATATATATATATATATATATATATATATATATATATATATATATATATATATATATATATATATTTAAAATATTGCATAGGTAAGCAGTCTGTCATCATCTGAAATTCAGGGCTGCCCCTATTTTAGAATGCCAAGCTAGCTATAAAAAAAATATTTAGTTTATTAAAAATAAACTCCATAGATTTTCATATGATCTTGAGCTAGTGCGCTATCTATGTTGTTTATTGTATAAAGTATGATAACATAAATATTGTATCTACTAGATACAATAATATTATCATATCTTAGTTTATCAACAACAAAGCCTAAATTTTTTTTGTAATTTGTTTTAAATATCAATAAGTAAAATGAATAATATAAAATAAAAAAGATACAAAAATATATGCAGTAGCTTATCTAACTTATGAAATTTACCTTTAAAAAAAAATATTTTTTTAAAACTTTTCTTTGAAGGGCAATTCCAAGCTCAAGTGAGTTATTTCGATTAAAAAAAAAAAAATACAAACAAAAACCAAATTATCATTGGGTTGCCATATGTTGAAAAATTTTAAAATTTAATTAATTATGTTATTTGTGTTATTTTTTTGTTTGTAATTCATTTTAAAAGTCATGCATCATACTTTTTATATTAATGGTAGCTAAACTACATTTTGAATAAAGCCTAGAATTGTCCCCGTAAGTAACGATAACTAATTTGATTTAAAATAAATAAATAAATAACTAAAACAATCTTTTAAACAATTTTACGAATAATAACTACTTTATTTAATTTAAGAACTAAGTTTAATTTAAGTTAAATATTTGGCATGAAATATTCTACTGAAAATAACAGGTTTTATGCAATGTTTTTTTGCAACCCGTAAGTAAAAGCAAGTCCTAAACTTATAATAATTAAATGTATTTGCAATACAAAATAAAATGAAAAACAAATAAGTGAATTTGGGATGATTCATTTATATATAAACATCAAATCTGTTAAAATAAAAAATATATATCTAAAAATGTGACATTACAAAAATCAAAATGTCCCATAAGTAACGGTGAAACTGCCCTAAATGATATATATTTTTTTAATTTAATAAAATGCATATCTTGAATGCAATCTTGTTTCTATGACAACTTGCAGTTGCTGGTGAACTTTAATCCAAACAAAAATCTTTATTGCTAATCATTTCCACAATATAATATAATAATAATGATGATATTAATGAGTCTTTTACTTTAAGTCTTCTCGAAATGTGTTTTACTACTGTCTTCATTTAGAACTATACATCCAATCCACTTCAAGATATTCATCTGTTAAAGCTGTCACACTACCAGGCTTGACATTTACTTATTCCTGAATCCATTTAAAACCTCTATAAACCTCTTGTCCACTCATGGATTAACTTATGTTATCATATTTAACTGGTTACATTTTTTCCTGTTTTACTTCTCAAGCCAGCTATAATGTCTTGTTTCATTAACCATATTATTTTGTGACTCACCATTCAGCATAATAATGTTTTAATTTACTATAACCATTTCTTCAAAAAAAAAACTTCAAAAAAAAAACAACAAAAAAACTTTTATTTAATAAGTTATTTACAAATTAATAGTTTATTAAACATTACAGTTTTCATTTTTAAAAACAATGCACCATCTTATATGGTACCATCGTTTTAGTGTGGCAATCATTATATATAAAATACCATCATTTTTGGATTTAACAATATGCTACAGATGTTGTATGCTATATGTGTTGTAGGTCATATGCACAACTGTACACCACTTAAATGGGCACATACATTTGGGCAGAAATACAACTGCACTTTTACAGAGGTATTTTCAAATCAATTATACTATAAAGAGGGTATAGAAATAGTTTATACCTTTGTTGTATTTCCTCCTTGTCTCTTTCTTCATCCTCTATTTTCAATGAAAAAATCTGAGAACGACTGGCAATTAGCTGTGAAAGTATATGCAACTGTTCTGTATTAGTTTTGCTTGTAACTAATAACAACACTTGTAAAACAGGACTGGCCATGCGATGACATAGTAGCTCTCCAAAATTATCATCCTCAGTAATAGCTTTGAAGAAATAGGTAAATGACTTCTTCAAAACTTTAGGTACATCAAATACACTTAATTCTTGGTGTTTGTTACCTGAATAATTAATGTGATATTTATTTATTATTTTACATTTTAAAACAAAAAACAAATCAGTTTATGATTTATTCTTAATAACTAGTATCAATAAAAACAAACCTGATAGCAACTTAAGTAAATCCGATCTAAGCTCAAACATTTTCAAAGTTTAAATGATTATCCAAAAGCTTCTTTATTATTATTATTTTTTTTTTTACATAACAAACTAACAAAATATTTACAAAAATATATATATATATTTTTATATATGGACAGATTCTAAATTGAAAGTCTGTATCAGGATTCTTTGAATCTAGAACTCGGTGGCACTGTAACAACAAATGTGGCACTGTCACAAAAACTGTGGGACTGTCACAACAACTGTGGCACTGTTACAACAACTGTGGCACTGTCACAACAACTATGGCACTGTCACAACAACCGTGGCACTGTTAGAACAACTGTGGCACTGTCACAACAACTGTGGTACTGCCACAAGTTGAATTTCTATTAAGTAATCATAGCAATTTAGTCGAGAAAATTTTTAAAAAAAGAGTAAACATAATTGATTTTCTAAACTGAATAGCAGATGACTATCATAAACAAATAGTAAAGAATTCTCTCAACAAAATAAAAACACTATAAAAAATTATTGTTTTTATATTTATCAATATAAAAACAATCAGATCTTATAATCAAGTGGTTCAATTTGATTGCCTCTGAAATAAACTGTTACTTGGTACAAAAAACTTTTTGAAACTTGCTGATTTCAAAAATGTCTAGTCAAATGGATTCTTAGAATTAAGGGATTAAATGCAACATGAATTTAAAATGACTTTAGCAACAGAAGCCAGAGTTTGAATGTCCAACAATGGGTTAACCTGTTTAACTGGAATGGTAAGAAGAGTATGGCCATTAGATTCAGAGTGGAGTTAGAAGAATTTTACAGGTAGTTCAACCTTATCCTTAGAAGAGGTAATAAGACCAGACACATAAACTAGAAATAAAATGTGCAACTTTTGTTAATCTGTTGAAGATTTTCGAAAAATCTCTAGAACTTAACTTCTGAGATACAAGATTTAGTAAACTGGGAATAATGGAGCTTAGCAACAGACAGCATTCTTTTAATTTCTTTCAATAATAAAAGAACATTTGATCTAAAGAGAGTCAATTTTGAGAAAAAGATGAAAAGTTGATTACAATTAGATATAGCAGCTGCACAAGAAGGTTAAAACTATAAAGTAGAATGAGGCTTGATTTGAAACCTGTGAGAAGAAATAAAAGCATTCATACCTGCCTTGATCCAGGAAGTTACACATGAAGTGCATTCATCAGAAGAGAGACAAAATATATCATTCCAAGGATCTTCATAAAGAAATCACAAAATCAAATTAAAGAGAACTTGACTTAATTATAGATAACTGGCACCCACTTCCCAAGCAATAAGCTTAGCAGCTGTCCTGCTAATTAATCTCAAGTCGTTACTGAGAGCTCTTTATGTGGCCTTAACAATGCACGCCAGAAGCACTAACAGGGACGCCACCCACAAATTGACACTGTTAATACTCTGATATTTTACAGCTGTTGATGGAATCAGCAATTCTGAGAGCTGCTCACAGAGTCTCACAGCTGCTCACAGAGTCACAGAGAGCTGCCACAGTTTGAAACCTTACTACCAGTCAGCCTCAAAATTTACTGAGAACTAATCAGAAGATAATAAGAAGAATTGAATAGCTACTATCAAAAAAACTTTGTCTCTAGAAAGAAAATCTACATGTTTTATAAGCAAAAATCTATGAGTAGAGCCATGAAGATCATTATAATAATAATGTAAAAAAATTAACAAATAGAAAAGAAAGCTTTGTCTATTTTTATAATGTTCTTTTCAAGTGCCCACCAACTTACAACCAAAACTTACAACTTAAACTCCCTAACTGTGCCAACTTGGGGAGGTCAACTTAAAATTAAAAGATTGAAATCTTTAAAATAAAAAATAAAAAAAGTAAACAATCATCAAAATTAAAGCATACCTTGAAGATCTCTTTTGTTAACTGCAGCTTTTTTGTTTGATTCTCTACATGCTCTACTACGAGTAATGACTTCTGGTGCAACAACTCCACCACATATTTGAACCACTGTATTTATTACATGACTTCCATAAACATCTCTTATGAGAGTACTTGTAAGTTTTCGAATACATTTACAAAGTTTATAAAATGTTGATTGTACTTCTGCATCTTCTAAACGATCTTTATTACTCCAACAAAGGGTTTCAACTACGTGACTTGCAAATCGATCAGTGCATAATTTCTCAATGTCATCTTTGAAAATATTCACAACCATTTTAAATTGATCATTTGTCATTATGGGAATTATTCGTTCAAAAACTTTACTCGTCAAAGTGTGACGTGCTAGTTGACTTCCATCATTCTCAATTTGGTATGAAACATTTTTAATAAATGTTTCTCTATTATCATTATCTTCAAATGCATTTTCTAATAAGACCTGTTCAACTCGCTTAAAATAGTTGATAGTATCTTCAGACAGTCTACCTTGTTTTTTATCAACATTTTCTTTAGTCGCTCCTTTCTTATCATTTTTATCAACATTATTTTCCTTTTCTTTAGTCGGTCCTTTTTTATCACTTTTATCAACATTTTTCTTTTCTTTAGTGGTTCCTTTCTTATCACTTTTCATGATAAAAAAGAATTACCAAAACTGTATATACCTTCACATAAGTGTAAACATTTAACTCTTAGAAAATAAACAATTGTAAAACAAATTAAAAAACTTTTAATAAAATTGTTAAAAACTAGAAAACTAGTTGTTTATTATCAAAAACATTCAAAATTTAGTACTAATGAGTTATCAATATTCATAACCCCCTCCACCCTTAATTTTAAACCCTTAACCCCCGATCCCCAGATTGTTGCTAACTAAATTATTTACTAGTACTAGCAAAAGACAATCTGAAAAAACCTAAATAAAATATTTCTGTAAATAAAAATTCTTTTTGTCTTTTGTATTTAACTTAATAGATTATATATTTCTCTAAAATTAAGTAATAAATTTATATCCTGCAATTATATAATAAATATTTGTCAAATAAATTATGTTATAAATATGCTTTACTAAAACTATTTTTTTTAAAGTTTTTCAATATTTTTTTTTTTGTGTGAATAAATTTTATTTTTATTTTGTTCAATAAAACAAAATATAATTACTATTATAAATAAATTATATCAAAAATTTTATTTAACAATTTTTGATAAGAAAATGTTTTTTTTCTAACAAAAAATGATAATCAAAAAGAAACTTGACATATTACCATAGAAACTAAATTTACTAGTCTTGATGGGAGTGAATTTGTTTAAAGAAAAAATTAAAATCTGAGAATAAAACACTATTTTTATTAACACCTAAAATATGTTTAGAAATACTAAAATTGAATAAGTTCTGATAAACCATTAAAAGATGATTTTCTTTTTTTATTATTTGCTTTTTTATAAAACTATTACTTTACAAATTACTAAAAAAACTTAAAAAAAAAAGTTAGTTAAAATAACAAGTATTAATAAAACAATAAAACATCTTCTAATGAATTTATGTAAGGTCTCTCACTTTTTTTCATTGTTCTATCAATTATTAATGCATTCATTCCAATAGAGCGAGGACCATCATAGTCTTTACTTACATCATCACCAATATGTAAACATTCATTAGGATAACATAATGCTTTGTTTAATGCAAGTTTATAAATATGCTTTTCTGGTTTATAAAGTCCACAACAACCAGAAATGATAAAGAAGTCAAAATATGAAGCAAGCTCCAAACGTTCAAGGACTTTTGGTAAACGCTCATCAAAATTGGAAATAATACCAATCTTTAGTTTAGAGCTCTTTAATTTTGTTAAAGCAGGTATAACATCTGAAAAAACTTCCCAATAATCAGCCAAACAAAAATTATCATACAGTGTTGCAGTTAACTTTTGTGAAAACTGATCATTAAAATCGCAATTTAAATTCTTAAATGTTTTTTGTACTATTAAATCCCAATATTTCCTGCTTGAAATTTTACCATAACCAAAATTTGGGTATGCACTCTGAAAGTGCTTTAGCACACTTTGAAATTCTTTCTCAACCATATGAGGATTTAAAGTATTTACACTATTCTTTTCTTTTGTCTCAATGTTTTGATTTGTTTTAAGAAAACTATTTATTTCTTTCATATATATTGAACCAACACTACCTCTTGTTTTAATTAGAGTATTGAAAACATCAAATGTTACAAGTTTTAGACCTCTGTTCATTTTAATTAAATTTTCTTTTAAATATTGAGCAAGGAAATAACTTTGATTAACTAAAACTGGAATATTATACAGAATAACTGAATAAACTAGAATATTGAACAGAATATTGTTAATAAAAATTAATAGAAACAGCTCATTAAAATTTCTATTGTACTATTTAATTATCTATATACTAACACAATGTAACTAATAACTTGAAAATTTTACATAAATTATTTATATTATACTATGTATCATTTATATATATATATATATATATATATATATATATATATATATATATATATATATATATATATATATATATATATATATATATATATATATATATTTTATATACCTTTTTTATAAATGTAAAACTTAAAAAGAAAACTGTTTTTTAAAGTTGATTATCAAGATAATTGATATTAAAGTTTAAAGAACGTCATTTAGAAAAGAAAAATAAGATAAAAAAATAGTTTCAACTTTTAAATAGAAAAAACATATTTTGGATTTTTTTTGTAGGTTATTGGCACTAACCCTACTAAAGTAAACTTAAAACTTGACTTGAAAACCAAATCAAACACAAAACAAAATCAAATAGAACATAAAACACAGAACATAAAAAAACAGAAGATAATGTAGCACAAAAATAACTCTTCATTAAAAAAATTAAAAATATAAAAAAAAATGAGACAACCACTCATAAATATAAAAAAAAAAGTCAACCAATCATAAACTTAATTATTTGTCTGACTTGAAATTTAGTTATGAAGTAACACTTCAAAACGCAATTTTTTTCTGAACATTTCTTATCTGGATACTAGAAACTTTGTACTTTAGTAAACACCCAGCATATAGGTCTGCAATATTTATAAACACCCAGCATATCTGGTCTGCAATATTTGTTTAAAATTTTCGTTTTTTATATTTTTCAGCATAAAATACTCTTAATGTTTAAAAATCTTCTAAAAACTGAAGTAATCTTTAGAAGAGAAATCTTCATCTGAATCACTAGTCTGTTCATCACTTGAACTATCAGATACATTTAGAGGAGCAACACAAAGACGATCACCAGGTTGATAAGCTGTACATTTAGGTGGTGGAGGTAGACATCCAGTTCTGTACCATGCTAAAATATTATTATTATAATAAATGTTAATACTATTTATACTATTATTTTTCGATTACTATTTTTGCTACTACTCATCACTTTTCATTACTATTTTTGTTACAATAATAATAATAATATTAATTTAATAATTACCATTGATTTATATATATATCAATGATTTTAAAATCTCAACATCCCTTAAAATTTTTATAGGAATTTTTAAAAAATTTTTAGGGTTGTTTTTTAAAAATAAAGGCAATTTTAGAATATTAAAATAATATCATGCTAGATTGCTTTAACAAAATTTGCATAAAAAGATAATTTTTTTATTCAAAAACTAGGCTGTTTTTACAAGGGTTGAATTAAGCGATCACAATTTGTGATATCTGGAAAAATATCTGCAGATATTCAAATAATACTAACACTTTTTCATGAAAACAAAGAACGCAGTTTTGCATAAACTAAAATGTTGAAGACCATATTTTTCCAGATATCGCAAATAGCTATTGCTTAATTCAACACTTGTTTTATACAATTTTCTAAAATCTAAGAAAAAAATAATTTTGAGACAGTTATAATCAACTATTTAATTGTTGTGGATAATTGCTAATAAACCAAGAATAATAATAATAATAATAATAATGGCATGAATAGTCTGCATAAAATTTGCACACTAGGTCTCATGTAAATGTGAGCTAGTTCACAGATTACATGCAGATTAGTAACATGATCAGAATGTGAAGGCATCGCAGAAAAGCTGCCTTCACATTCTGAGAACCTTACTGGCAACATATATCTAGTATTTAGGAACTCAATGAGATTAGGGTATATGTTCATTCTAAGTTTTTATGGCTTCAGTCAGAGTATTAAGTCTATCTTCAGGTTTAAGAACCAACTACTTTCTTTTCGGAAACATTAACTCTTGATCTCCTGTTTCTGTGTTAGAAAATCTTTTACGTCTTACACTTTGACTAACTCCTGAAACACAATTATGTCCTTGCTGCAGATTATTAAGGAAATTAAAGATAAATCTTACCTAAAGTCAGTGTATTTTTTTAGAATTGTATATTGATTTCGGAAATGATGTTGTAAAGAAGTAAACCCGCTTATAATTTCCATAAGGATTCTTTGCAGTTATGTTAATTCTGAGTGTCTGCCTCATAGCAGATTTTAAGAATCATTAGCTCTAAAAATAATTTAATTGCCTTAACTAAAACTTGTTGGTAAAATACATCAGTTTCTTTTTTTAACATTTTCCCATAAATGGTTCAAATCATTACTTGTCTTTTGAATGCTACAATATGCATAAGGGAAGTGGGGGCATAACCGCCCCCGTAACGTTTGTATTAATGTTATATGAAAATAAAAACGAAATGTGTTTTTTTAGCAGTTTATTTCAATAACCACACCATTAAGCTTTAAATTGATGCATTTAAGAAAAAAAGTTGAACGGGTTTTAAAAATGTTATTACACAAAAACTACACTTAGTGAAAAAAAAATTTTGCCCCCATTGTGAGGCACAACCGCACTCTCACTAAAATCGATGGGGCTACACCTTTCATGGTAAATTTTTTTTACAATTTTCACAGCTCAGATTATTTGATGATTTTGTTGCATGTTTGCATACTGTGCATGCATTCTTAGTATTTACATTTTGAGTTCTGCCCCAGAAGAGAGTTCTGCCTCAGAAGAGAGTTTTTAGAAAAAATTCAGTTTCATAGTTTAATTATTAGATTATGGTATTATCAAAAATGGCTTTCACTTCATGAAATAATGCTGATAACATATATCTTTAACACTAAAATCAAATATTGCTTAATTCTCAAAAAAAAAGTCAGGAAAAATATGATGTAAATATAATATTTTTATGAAAATGAACATTATTATTCACAACTTCTCAGAAACTTAACAGTCACTCTTTTTGACATATGCAAAATGAAGGAAAATGCTTTACTAATGTGTGGTATGTTTTTTTCCATATTAGAAAACATTTTTTGAAAAAAAATGTTAAAAAACAGTTGTGCCTCCATATGCGTTTATGCCCCCACTTCCCCTACACTAAATCAGTTGTGCATCCTTAAAACCTCTCTGTAATATATTCTAACAGATTAAGTGCTCCAAAACATGAATTTGAATTTTTTTTTTTTTAATTATTCACCTCCCCAAGGCCCAAGGGGGCCACTAAAGTTGAGAAGGCTACTCATTTTTTTTTTTTTTTTTGTTGTAAATCGTGGTACAACCCTCTCTCAACTCTTTAACTCCAAAACACAAACCTTGACAAGCAAGACCGCTGCACGGAGAAATTAAATTGAGCACGGTACTTCCAGGGACATGGTGGGAGTTGAACTCCGAACTGCTTGCTTACAAAGCGAGCGCTCTTACCACTACACCACTACCGCATAGTGAGTGCATTAAGGAACAAGCTAACCTCTCTTCTTCCATGTGCCCCCCACTTACTAAACTCTGCACTGAATTGCTCTATATTAGAGTGCACTCCTAAAATAATCTTAAATGTCTCTGCCGTAAATTGTATAACCAAATGTGTCTCTTTCTGACCATCTTGATTTGCACATGCCTATCAAAATCCACTTTTATCCCTCGTTGATTTACAATGGAGGTCTGCAACATATTGATTAAGTCAAATTATGAGAGCTACAATGTGTTACAAATGTTTTTTGGAATTCTTTTAAAATGAAGCTGGCAACAACTTAAAAATAAATGTTTTCAACACCATTGTAACACTGATCTTGATGTGAAGTTACATATATATATATATATATATATATATATATATATATATATATATATATATATATATATATATATATATATATATATATATATATATATATATATATATATATATATATATATATATATATATACATAAAAAAAGTATGGTACTTCATAATGAATTCGAATTTGTTGTGAAACGTAAAAACTAAGGAGAGATTTCTTTTTCTTTTACAAAGAAGAAATTTTGTGATTCGATTAAGGCTTTTAAATACTTTAACTTTGACAATTAAAAAAGTTTCATTGTCAAATTAAAAAAGGTACTTTACACAAAAAAAGGGGGTTAATTGCAGCCCCAAGCCCCCACTGAAAAACGAACAGATGTTCAGAATAAACAAAGATTTATTTTAAGAAGAAAAAGCTTACACACAAATCATAATCAACAGTAATTTTATCATTTAAGTAAAACCTAAAACAAAACAGGACAAATAAAAAACCATAAACTTTCATTAACTACGAAGTTTAACAAATATACATATGCATAGATACTTGAAATGAATAAATATAAAGTAATAAGAGGTATAAAATAAAGAGAAAACATTTTGTGTAATCATAGTTTATGTAGTGGAGGTAAAAAAATCCTCCTCAGAATCCCGTTTATTATAACCGGCGTTTCAAAGAGGCTTGGCGCCAATACCTAGCTTATCTTGTAAGATAAACATCATCAAGATTTACTTCCAGAAACAAACATATTTTTCCATGGAAACAGCAATTATTGCCATTCTTCTATTGCTTAGATACACACACAAAAAAAAATAAATAAATAGAGAAACACACACAAAAGTAGTATTTTATATAAAAAATACAAAGGATGAGATCGAACAAACACATTTAATTTAATTCAAAAAAAAAGTTCAAAAAAACTTTGCCATAAGATGTTTGAGACTATTTATACATAAGGTTGTTTTGATGTTGTGCATACGTATATACCATGGTATATATTAAAAGCATATATTATAGTATGATAAATACTAATTACTATATCATTACTATAAATTATGGCTACTACAATTACTATATTATTACTATTATCTTAATATTAATACTGTAATTTAATGTTTTATGTACTTAGTAACTGTTTAATGCGCTTAGTTACAACTGTTATAACAAATGCACATATAACACTCAAGAAATGCCAGAGAAAAAAGTAAATGAAGATCTCTAATGAAGTTAAGATTTTGTAACTTATTGAAAACAAATAAAGGATATGTGGAAGTTGTGCAACAGACCTTTCATGATCCTTATTACGGGTCCGAGCACTCTTGTCTATTACTATAACTATTAATTGTACAACTTGTTTCTCTGGGTAGCGGCCTTGTTGGTTAAAGTTCATGTTTTGGAGTTATTGAGTTGAGAGACGGTTATAACCAAAAGTAGCCTTCTCATCTGTAGTGGCCTTCTCAGCCTTGGGCAGGTGAACTATATTTAAAAAAAAAAATTATTGCTATTACTAAAATTATGTAATTTTTTGATGTTCATGATGGCATCAAAAGTTTGATCTAAGAATAGAACATTTTAAATATCAGATACCTGAATAAAAAAGATTGCCTGGTTGAATAACTGAATATTTTTACCATTAAAATGTCTAACGAAATTTGTAAATTGATTAGACAATCTGATCTTTGAGTTAGGATGACTTGATCATAAAAATGTACCCATAAAAATGTTTTGAAAAACTGTAAAAATCCAGTGTTTTAAACCTAATAACTTATGTCGTTAAAAATATTACAACAAAAGATTTGTGAATCTCTTCTTTTTTTTAATAATTTATACCTTAAAAACTAAAAAAAAAAATAATTCTAAAATTAATTTATTAAATTATTACAATTATTAATTTTTATAAAAATAATTTTACTTTCAAAAGTTGCTCCTTCATCATCATCTTCAGAATCACACCAACGATCATGATCAATGGAAATGTTTGAAGCCTATATTTAAAATAATAAAATGATATAAAATTAAAAAATTTAATAAATTCATTTTTGTTCCATTTTTATATGCACATTTTGTCTGCTTTTAATCAGGTTGTTTTCAGAAATTATTAAAAAGAAGTACTTTAAAAATTGTTTATTGAATAGCTAAGTTTAGTTTTATTAATTAAGAAAACTTTTGCTTTTTATTTTGCAAACTTTATTATTGAAACTTTTTCTTTATTAAGAAAACTTTTTGCAAAGAAACAAATCTAGCATGAATGCCAATCCAACATGGTATTTTTTGCTAACAAAACAACAACTCTAACATACTTCTACAACAATGTTACCATCTTTCAATAATAACCAAGATATTTTACCTATTATTTAATTATGATTTAAATAAAAACTGATTACCTAAAATATGTTTAAATAAATGAAAAAAGCCCAAGTTCATTTTGAACTTGGGCTAACCTCTCAGAATGCTAATTATCAAATTATTAAAAATTATTAAAGAATGGTAAAACAAATAATCTTGATTTTACCTTTTTTAAAAATGCAATTTCTCTCTGTATATATATTTATAGATAATATTTCTATTGAGTGTTTAATTATATATAGAAAAAACTTATATTTCTATTGAGTGTTTATTTAATAAAAGTGACAATAGGTGTGTCCTTTTTTAGGTAACCACTATCCATAATTACCTGTTTGAAAATAACTTTTAAGTGATTTGATTTATATGATTGATTTAATTTCTTATTTAGAAATTACGAATTTTGTTAATTTTGAAAAAAACAATTTTTACTAACTGCATCTGATATGATAAATTTTGTTTTGTTACTTGTGTTTTTTTTTTTTTTTTTTGCCAGTTGAGTACTTTTTTTTTGAGTACTTTTTTGAGTTTAAGTCATGTTGTCAGTCTTAAAATTTTTTTTAAGCTGTGTGTTTTTTAGAACATGTACTACTTTCAAAGAGTTTCTTTCTTAAGTATTTTTGTTATTTAACATGGATGTTTCAAGACAGATATATGTTTTCTTTTTTTGAACTGCATGTTTTTTAGAACACTTCAAAAAAGTCTTGCTAAAGCATTTTTGTTATTTATTACTGTTTCAAGGTTTTACTTTATTTTTTTTTTTAATCATAAAAATAAATGACAAATAAAAACAGAAATATAAATGCATTAAAAATTAACTTTTTGCAGAAAAATTATCTAGACAAAACAGACATCCTTATTATCTTCTTAATCTGATGGATGAAAATAATTAAATCTTAGTTGGCTCACAACACATTTTTTGTAAAATTGTTAAAAAAAGAAAAGTAATTCAAAATCATTAGCTATTTTTTGACAATGTTAACTTTTTTTTCCACTTAATGTAAATATTGTTTATCAAGGAAAGATAGATTTTTTATAAGTTTTTATATAAACAAAAATTAATGGTTTTTTAAAATCAGTGAATTTTTTATTTTTTCATGCGCAAATTGTTTAATTTTTATTAATAATTTTACATTGCATGAAACATCAGTGTTAAATAACTATTTTAACATTCGTATTACAATTAAAACATTTGCATCACAATTACAACATTTGTATCACAATTACAACAGTTGTATCACAATTACAACATTTGTATCACAATTACAACATTTGTATCACAATTACAACATTTGTATCACAATTACAACATTTGTATCACAATTACAACATTTGTATCACAATTACAACATTTGTATCACAATTACAACAGTTGTATCACAATTACAACATTTGTATCACAATTACAACATTTGAATCACAATTATAACATTTGAATCACAATTACAACATTCGTATCACAATTACAACATTTGTATCACAATTACAACATTTGTATCACAATTACAACAGTTGTATCACAATTACAACATTTGTATCACAATTACAACATTTGTATCACAATTACAACAGTTGTATCACAATTACAACATTTGTATCACAATTACAACATTTGTATCACAATTACAACATTTGTATCACAATTACAACATTTGAATCACAATTATAACATTTGAATCACAATTACAACATTTGTATCACAATTACAACATTTGAATCACAATTATAACATTTGAATCACAATTACAACATTCGTATCACAATTACAACATTTGTATCACAATTACAACATTTGTATCACAATTACAACATTTGTATCACAATTACAATATTTGAATCACAATTACAACATTTGTATCTTTCTACAAAGTGTTTTTGTACAAAGCTAAAAATAGAAAAATAAAACAAAAACTTAATTTTTAGTTTTGGAACTTGTCACTGTTTATTTTCATGAAATATGAAATTTTATTTTAAAATAGCTGAATATATAAAACCACAAGCAAAAATCATTTGTGCTAGAAATTCTTTTATGAATATATTGAATCTTAAATCACGATATTTGATAGCTTTAATATTTTGGATATTTTATTCAAGTTTCTTTAAATAGAACTTTAAAAAAATACAAATATATCCATTTAAAACTGAAATTGTAATTAAATATATATATATATATATATATATATATATATATATATATATATATATATATATATATATATATATATATATATATATATACATATATACACATATATATACATATATACAAAATATATATATATATATATAATATATATATATATATATATATATATATATATATATATATATATATATATATATATATAAATAAAACATATATAGTATAAAAAAATATACATTTAAAACTAAAATCTTAATTAAAAAAAACCTTTTATAGAGTAACAGCAGAATATTTTACAAAATTATATATATATATATATATATATATATATATATATATATATATATATATATATATATATATATATATATATATATATATATATATATATATATATATATATATATATATACATGTATATATAATCAAAGTTAAAGAAAGTCAGAACTTTTAAAGGGATTCCTAAATATAAAGATAAATTATGTTTATGTATCTGCATAGTTTTTTCTGTTAAAAAAATAGTTTGAATAATAATTGTACTACAAAGCTTTTTATCAATTTAGTTTACAGAATAGGACTGCATTCCTTTATTACTAAAAAAAAAACGTTTGCACTACATTATGCATTAAAATAAACATAAGTTTGACTTTTAGCATTACTTATTTATTCAGTTATTATATATTTTATAGAATGTTATATATAAAGGGATTCTTCTACATAAAATTTAACTGCAAAAGTGAAAACCCAAGTATTACAAAGTTTTTAATTCAATTTTATTCAAATTATTATTGTTATTTATCGAAGTTATTCAAAATAATTTTTTCTTTTGAATCTTAAATCACGATTTTTAATAACTTTAATAGTATGGATATTTTATCCAAGCTTCTTTAAATAAAACTATTAAAAATATCCATTTCACAAGTTTCTTTAAACAAAACTATAAAAATATCCATTTAAAACAACAATCATAATAAAAAAAAACTTCAATGGCAGACAGTTCTATTAGAAGCTAAAAATTAAACTGTAAGCAAAATATGGAGTAACAGCAGAATATTTTACAAAATTTTATAATTATTTTAATAATGAGCAAAATATACTTAATCAAAGTATCAACTGTAAAAACAATTATTAAAAATCCATATTTTTCTTTTAATTTATACAAAAAAGAGAGCAGCTATATTGTCATAAAGCTAAAACATCTTACTTTTTTTGGAGATTTAGGCAACCTCAACCAAATTTCACTCAAATCTTTATAAAGAATGATAAGTACTTCACTACTTTTTTTACTTACACAACATTTCTAAAATAACATATATAAGTATATATAAAAGTACTTGCAATAAAACTTGTAGCAAATGTGTACTTAAACACCTGCAGCACATTATGTTCTTTAATATAAATATAATAAAATTTTCAATTTCTTAACAAAAAAAATTAAAAATTGACTGACCTCAGGAACTATTTGCCTATAAAGTTGTAAGTCCAAAACATATTCCACCTGATTTAATATAGTTCTAAGACAAAGTTATTAGGCAAAAATTAATAAATGACCTAACTAATAAATAAAAAAATATAAACTAATAAATAAAATAATATAAAATAATAACTACAAATTAAAATATTTTCATAATAAAAAAATAAAAAATCTTTTGGTAATAGAAAAACTATTCTTTAGAAATTCCAATTCCAAGGTTGCGTGCATCTAAAATGGCAAAGTGTATTCTATTTTTCAAATTTACCCCTTAAAACTAAAACTGAAAGGGTTCCAGGGCATCAGGGCATCAAGATCTTCCTCATAGAAGCCATTGTACTGCTTTGCATACTAATTGTTTTTATTTTTCTTTATGAAGCTTATGATATCTTTCTTTTCTTTTCTCTTACTTTAAAGTAAGAGAAAAGAAAAGGAAGATATCATTTTTTCTTTTCTCTTACTTTAAAGTAACAGAAAAGAAAAAAAAGAGAAAAAAAAAAAAGACAAAAAAGGGCAATCATTTTTGATAAAATAAAATAAATTAATCCAAGAGATAAATTTCACTTTTATAAAAGATTAAATATATTAGGTAATAGAGTTAATGATACAAGCAATCAAACCACACAATCAAACTACACTATCAAACCATACAATCAAACTACACTATCAAACCATACAATCAAACTACACTATCAAACCACACTATCAAACCACACAATCAAACCACTCAAGCAAACTACACAAGCAAAAACACCTGAATTTTAGTGATGTTGGTGTAAACACTGTCTCTTCTGATTTCACATCACGCAATTGAACCGAAAGCGTAACAGTATCATTTCGCTGTGACCATAGCACTTTTGGAGTTACATTTGATCTAAAAAAATAACAGCGGTAAATAAAATTAGTTTCAAAATGAAAGAAAGAAATATTATAAAATAACTTACATTTTAATAACTTCTTTTTCTGAACATTCAACGATTTTTGAATTAATGACACTTTCTTTTTTTTCCATTACTTTATAAGATTTTGGAATGGGTGAGAGTTGAGCAATCAAACTGTTCATAAGTTTCTTTGTACTAACACTAAATCTCATTGGAAGACATACAAATCTAATGTAAAAATGCATAACAAATCTAATGTAAATATTTGTAACAAATTTAATGTTAAAATACATAACAAATCTAATGTAATAATACATAACAAATTCAATGTAAAAATACATAACAAATATAATTTTAAAAATACAAAAAAATTTTAATGAAATAATAGATATTCAATAGAAGTGTATCCTTAAGAACAGTCGTTAAAATAAATGTGTATAGTAATTTACACTGATTACTTTTAAGTTTATGATATTTAGAAGTTTGAAAAGAACACACACATATGCAAAAAATTTAAAAGGTTGAAAAGAACACACACACTGACAAAATATGCAAACAATTAAATCTGTAATGTTTTAAAAAGTTTCCATTTTAATAAAAATAAAATTAGATACAAAAATATGTAAAAAGATATGAGATTTAATAACTATATAAAAAAAAAAAATTTACTGTTTATTTTAGACCAGTTTAGAATTCATAAAAAAATTTGACTTTAGTTGCATATTACTATGTTTACTCTCACTATATATTCAGGCACTAAATGAGTAAACTTATAAATTAGCCTTAATTCACGACAACAACTCATTACAATTAAGACAAAAGAAAACACTACCAAATTTGATATTAATCCAAAACTACATCATCTATTCAAGATTGAAAAAGAATCTAATCTAGTAAATAAGTAATAATCTAATAAGTCCAATCTAAATAAAGATTTCAAATATTTATAAAAACAGAAATTAAAATGGACAACAGAAAAATAGCATTTATAAAACTTAAAAATTAAAGTGAATTTTTCAACTTGCTTCTTTTATAAACTAACTTCTCTTATTTTAAAAAAGTTTTTACATTTTTAGTTGGTCATGAACAGCCAATTTATGCAGGTAGTCTCTGCTTTTTTCATTACAACTTACAAACTCTTGAAAAATTTGTAGCACTGGTTGTATGATCTAAAAATAATAGCTTAATTATTATCAAATTAGTTATCAGATGAAAAGAATATTCTAATTGACAACTGACCTTTTCAGATGGTTTTTGTTTTATTAACATGAACAAAGATTTCAAACCACCAATGTTACAAAAGTATTCTTGGTTTCTGAAAAAAAATTAACAACTAATTGTAAAAAAAAAATAATAATAATTCTTAACAATTTATTCAACAATAAACAAAATTTTAATAATAATAAACAAAAATAAAAATAACCTGTTTAATTTTTTTGATTTTAAGGTTTTTTGATGAAGAATGTTTACAAATACTTTTTTATATTTTGATTACATAATTTTTTATAGATTTTTTTTTTGCCAAAAAAAAGTAACAATAACTTATTTATAATTTAAAGTATAAATTTTTCATTCATGTCTTCATTAAGCCAATCAAAAGCTAATGTGATTAAGTTCACCTTTTGAATTTTTTTTATCAATTTTGGTAATTTTTAATAGAATAATATGTCCTGGTTTTTAAAGGATTTTGTCGTTAATTGCGTTTTTCTATATCAAAGAGTAATTTTCATTAACTTTTCAATGCTTAACTGTATTATAGGGCTTAATGTAAATGCTTAACGTAACTGCTATTATAGGGTTTTTGATGAAAGATAAAATGTCAACATCTTTAAAGTTTTTTTTCAGTCCATGTAAACAGTTCATGTTGTGTGAGATTATGGTTTGCATTTGCTGTTTGTAGACATTTGCTGCTAATCTTTTTATAGTTCACCACATTGACTTTCAGTCATGGATGTTCCAGTCAATACAAGCGTAACATTAATTTTAGGCATTTAATTTGAATTTTTGATTTTATGTGGTGTTCTGTCCTGCATCAATGCCATGCAGAAAAATCATTTTACCGACTTAAATATATTGCAATATTTATACACAATCAACTTATGTGATAAGAAAGTTAACTGCTTTGTCACTTTCTTTTTTAAACATTAAACATTTTGAGCAGTCACCAAAACATATTATTGAAGCTTGCAAATTTAAACTAATTTTTCTGACCACAAGTAACATCAGACTAGAGGGCCAGGATTGAAAACTTTTTTTATATATTTTTTTAAATTTAGAACTGGTATAACATTAATGTGCGTATGTGTGTGTGCGTATAAATTTATTTTTTTAAATTTAATAACAAATATAACTTTACCTAAATCCTGAAAGAGAAACACTGAGTGTTTCTAAAGTTTGTAAAACTATCTCATCATTGTTCCTTCTTTCAAGAAAATGCATCATTGTATCAAGTGCTCCCTCATGCCGTATGGCTCCAGCAAATCTAAAAAATATATTTTTATAGCAAAAAAAATTATCAAAGATATAGTATATTATTCTCTTTTTACATTACATGAAATTTTGCATTTATTATTATCATTTTTTGCATATGTTCAATTTTTTATGTATTGCATATTAATATTTATAATATTTATATTTACCAGCCCACAGAATCACTGTCTGCATTTGGCAATACCAACCTAACTGTTAACTTAAAAGCTTTGTTATGATTTTATTGCATAACAGAAAAGCTTAATGCGAGTAAATTTACTTAATAAACATATTTACATTGTTTATGTTTAATTTAATCAGTTACATATTTTAAAGTACCCCATTGTAATAAAATTTAATTTGAAACCACATTAAAAATCGTTGTAAGTCTTAATCTTTATAAAATTTCTATATAAAAAAATAATAAATATTAATTTAAATATTATAAAACAAATTAAAAATAAATATTTTTTAAAAACAAAAAATAGAAAAAAATGTAACTATCTGTTTTTTTATCTATTTTATCTAATGTTTTTTGCAACAATTAATTACTGCTTAATGTTTTCCGCATAAACTATTTTAAAGTTTAAATTAAAAAAATTGAAAAAGTTTTTGTGTTATGTAGTAATTGTGTAGGTGAAATCTCCATTTCATACACAAAATTCAAATGGTGAAACACTTCTTTACAAGGCCTGTAAAAGTGTCTCAGGTTAATGACATTTTGTTGACCACTTTTTCTATGTTGTTATAGTGAAACCTTTGTGTTGTAAATTTTTGGTGTCGACCTGACCCCAACAAAAAATAGGCTAAGGTTAGTTAGTTAATAAAACTTCTGACTTTACTTTTTTTAATTCCAAGGGCAATATTTACATACATTTACACATCATTAAGCTTTAGCGACATTATTACCCAATTTTTTTGGCATGGTTTTTGTCAAATTTTTAATATATTATCATCAAGTTTAACATATATTTTTATTGAATTTTGCATTGATTTTCAAACTGACAAGTTTCAGTTACAGTACACACAGATATTTAAAAATATTATAATCAAAATCCAATGACATTGAAAAAAAAACAACTAGCGTTTGTTTTTATTTATATTTATGATTATATATTTATGAACTTTTGTAATGTGCGTATATTTATGAGGGTCAGGTAAGGTTATGCTGGTACTGGTATCATGTAACCCATTACAGCCTGCTTCATGTCCTGCTTATAATACATTGTTTCCAGTTTAGGATGTTGAATGCTGGATATTCTTGACTAAATGCATGAGTTTTGTTGCGTCTCTGTTTTTATGACTAGGCAACTCGCTTTATTATCTTCTAATGAGGGTACAGCTCTAAAACTCAGTTATGGTTTTAAGGCTGGCTGGTAGTCAGGTTTCCCAAACTCTGAGATAGCTCTCAGAGAGGCTAATTCCATGACCAAAAGTAAAATATCAGAGTACTAACAGCGCCATGTTGCGCATGAATGGTGTCCTATTTCACCACATTTCAAGCCCTTTGTTACAACTAAGGGTTTATTAATAGTAATGAGGCAATTGCTTGGGCTATTAAACAGTGTACTGAGTACTGTCTACACTTTGAGTCAAGTCTTTAAGAAATTTGAAAATAAATGAAGTAACAAAAAATATAAAACACAAAAAACCATTGTCATCACCAATTTCTCTAAACCTATCATTCACTAATATTTGTGGTCTTCAAAGTAACATTTCTTTTCTTTTTGAAGTAACTTTTCTATTGAGTCTTTACTCTTGCAAAGTTCACCAGACCTACTTGCTCTTTGTGAGACTAATTTGAGTTCAGCTTTCTCATCTTGTGATCTTAGTGATGATGGTTATCTTTCTTTAATTAATAAAGACTGCAAAAGCCACATGCTTGGCCTGGACATTTACATTTGTGAGAACTTTCCTATTTGTCGGGAAACTAGGTTTGAATCCACAGACTATTCTTTTACTTGCTTTTGGTTAGCCCCACTTCACTTTATCACTTTTCTCTTTGTTCTATATTGCTCTCCTTCATCTCAAGACTGCACTATTTCTGATTTGATCCAGCCCCCATAATGAAATCTTGCCTTTCATCTCAAAAATTAGGCTCTCATGACCTCTGGAGAATGTTTAGCAATATCAATAAGGGAAAACCTGTTATGCTGCTTCTCTTGTATGGTTTAGTTTTTGTCACCTCACCTAGCTAACAAAGCTGAATTGTTTGCTAAGAACTTTTCATCAATATCATCTCTTGATTCCACTAGTTGTGTTCTACCTGATATAGCCAACAAACAGGTTGATCCATTGCTGAACATTTGTATCACACCAACTTCTCTATTTAAAGTGTCTCTGTTTAAATTAAAAATTCCTGTTTAGACCCTTCTACAGCTTGTGGTGCAGACAATAGTCATAGTCTTGCAAAAGTGTTCTCCTGAGCTGTCCTCTATACATTCAAAACTATTTAACAAATGCTTATCAGAGTCTTGCTTTACGACATGCATGAAAGTGACATCTGTTATCCCTATTTTCAAAAACTCTGGAGAGGAATCTTAGTCATCTAACTATAGTCCCATCTAACTATAGTTTTCTTCATATCATAAGCAAGGTTTTTGAATCTTTAATTAACAAAGACTTAATCTCTTGACTCTAATAACTTACTTTCTAATCACCAATATGAATTTTGATCTTCCCATCTACAGCTGATTTGCTAACAGTAATAACCAATAGGTTTTATCGTGCATTAGATAGAGGTGGAGATAGATATTGTGTATTAGATAAAGGCATATTAGATAGAGGTGGCGTCTCAGGTAACATCTTTAATATTATTAAATCCTACCTTTATAATTGTAGTATAAAATTTGTCCTCAATGGACAGCACTCTTTTTCTTATCCTGTAACTTCATTGGTTCCTAAAGGTTCTATCCTGAATACTCTTTTTAATCTACATTAACAAGCTCTCAGATATTCAAACATCTAAGATGGGATTGTTCACTGATGATACTACTATTTATTCTTGTCTTGATAAGAAGTCAACTGGAGGGGGCGTTTGAGCTTGAAAAGGATCTCACTTCTGCTATAGCAAGGGGCTCACAGTGGCTGGTGAACTTTAATTCAGATAAAACCCAATTTTTTTTAGCCGATCGTTACTGCAATAATTTAGATCTTCCTATATTTATGAATGGTAATGTACTCGATGAGTCATCTACCTTTCATCTTCAAGGATTATCTCTTACTTTTTATCTTTCTTGGAAACCATTTATCAAATCTATTGCAAAATTAGCATCTGCTAGAGTTGCATCTCTTTATGGTGCTTGCCACTTTCTTACTCAGGATTCTATTCTTTAATTCTATAAATCTCAAATCCGTATGGAACATACTTAATGCACATGTCTGGAATATCTGGAATATCACATGTCTATAACATATCTGGAGCAGTATAAAAACAGATCTTTTAATGTTTATATTTTTATATTTTATATATTTTATATATTATATGTAAATTAATTTTAATCTCTTTTAGATAAGGTGCAAAAACGCATTGTAAGCGTAGTTGGAACTGCTCATTCAGCCAACCTTCAACCATTATTGCATCATCATAATGTTGCTTCTCTTTCTCTTTTCTATAAATACTATAATGGGCACTGCTCTAAAGAGCTAGCATCTCTTGTGCCATCGAATAAAATACATTTTTGTGTTACTTATCATTAAATTAAGTCTTATCATTTTTTTCATGGCTGTTCCTAAGTGCCCCAAAAATTCTTATTTGTCTAGTTTTCTTTAAACATCAGTTATTTGGAATTGGCTTCCTTTATTTTGCTTTCCTGATTCATATAATTAACAAACTTTCAAGTAGTCTGTCAATTCAAGTAAACCTTGCTGTTATTAACATTTATTATTTATATTTATTCAACTTTTTTTTTCTAATAGCATTCACAGCATAAATACTTTATAAAAAAACTTGTTCCAAAATTATTCTTGTTAGGGATTGTCCATAAACTACACAATACTAACTAATATGCTTTTTTGATTTTTTATTTAATTAATTTTTTATTTAATTTATCTACAAATTAAAATTTTTGATTTTTTTTGTTTTTCATATTAATGAAATTTAGCATTAAATTTAGCATCATAGGTCTTGTTAAGAAGCGTTAAGCAGCATTTCACATACAAAATGGCAATTTGTGCACATGTAGTTTACTGTTAAGCAAAAAAGTTTATATTTTTAATACTTAAATTATATTTTAATATCATTTATGTAACATTTATTCAGAAAGCATAAAGTTATAAAAAAAAAACAATTAATTGCAACTGTGAACTTTATTGTTAAAGAAAGTTTTATTTTATATAATTTTTTTTTTTAAAGACTTTTAATAAAACATGTTTTTAAAAATTAAAATAATTAGTTAAATAAAAAAATAGGAATGTAAAATAGTAATATTTAGTAAAGAAATTTTTATCATCTGCTAACTACTTTATTATGTAAAACATTACGTAAAACATAAACACGCATATTTAACACAAATTCAAAACTGTTTATCATAGATTAAAACATGTGAAAGCAAAAAAATTTTTTTTTTAACTTTAAAAAAGGAAACATGTTTTTGTTTAAGAGAATTCTTTTCACAAATGTTTTTAAATTTTTTTGGTTTCTTATAATTCAATAAAATGTAAAGTTCTTTTGACATTTATTTATGAACATAAATTATATTTATGAATACCTTATTGTTACAAATAAAAACACATTCACGCATACAAATAAAAATAAGTTGTGGTAAACAAATAAAAGATTATGTATAAGTATAAGATTGTTTTAAGAAATAAATTATAAAGATATTTATCAAATACCAAAAATTTAGATTTCGTTTGTAATTTTTGTTATATAAGTTAAAATAATTTTTTAAACTGTTTAAAATTTAATCACAATGCATGCCTTATAAAATACACTAATGATGCAATTAAATTTTTCACATTGTAAATATCAAAGCTGTGTTAAAGTTGAAAATAAAATCTCATAAGAAAGGCCTGCATTGAGTAATTTATGAAGGATCCCTTAAGAGAAATCTTAAATACTTATAACAATTAAAAATCAACAAACTTGCTGTGGTTGTTAAAAGCAAAATCTTCTAAAACAACAAAGTTTTTCTCAAGAACCATATTATATATTGGTCTGGCTTTTTGAGACTAGCTCTGCTCTTATGTGCCAATTCAAAAACTTTCAGAAATTTCTGCAGCAAGAGTTTTCTGGACAGTTTCCATAAAAGATTGTTCCTATTAGAAAATGCCTCAATTTTTATTGTCAAAAGCTAGTTGAGTTTTTAAATAATATGCAAGAATACCACAATGTAATTAACACCCCATTATGGTTAACAATAGTAGAAACAAAATACATAGTAATTTGAGAACCAACCAATAACTGTTTAATTTTCTAAAAAAAAATATGGTTGGTTGCCTCCATACAATGGTTGTTTGCCTTCATACTAAATAATCTTGGTTAGTTGGTTGCCTCCATACTAGATAATCTTGGAAATGGTCCGAGTGGCACCAATGTCTAACACCTACTTGTATTTGTGTGTGTGTGTCCTATTGAACCTCTATAGATTTGGATAAACAATTATTACTTAATAATGTCAAATGCTGACTCTATTTGGATAAACAAGTATTATTTAAAAGTAACTAATACCAGCCTTAAAAATTGGATAAAGAAGTATTACTTAAGTGTCAAATTCCAACCAAGATTTAGACAAGTATTACTTAGCTTATGTTTGCTTGCTTAGTAAGTAGGTGCTTAAAAGTTGCTTGCTTAAAACTTGCTTAAAGTAAGCAAGTATTACTTAGCTTGTTTAAAACCAGAAAAATGATTGTTTCTCAAAATTAAACATTATTTGAATACTATTGAAAGTAATAATTACGAAAACTTACGTATCATCTTTTTGAATACTATTGAAAGTAATAATTACGAAAACTTACGTATCATCTTTTTGAATACTATTGAAAGTAATAATTACGAAAACTTACGTATCATCTTTTTGAATACTATTGAAAGTAATAATTACGAAAACTTACGTATCATCTTTTTGAATACTATTGAAAGTAATAATTACGAAAACTTACGTATCATCTTTTTGAATACTATTGAAAGTAATAATTACGAAAACTTACGTATCATCTTTTTGAATACTATTGAAAGTAATAATTACGAAAACTTACGTATCATCTTTTTGAATACTATTGAAAGTAATAATTACGAAAACTTACGTATCATCTTTTTGAATACTATTGAAAGTAATAATTACGAAAACTTACGTATCATCTTTTTTCAGAGTAATGTAAATCCCTTTTAGTATGGAAAGAATAATCTAAATAAATAAGACACACTTTTTTAATATTGAATGAAAATATGAATATGTTTACAGCTTGTAGCTGTCATGGAAACAACATTTCATTAGTCATTTGATAACTTATAACAAATAAAGAAAAACCTCTGAATTTGATGTTGTTTTTAATATTCTACAGCTTGAGTTAACAAATCCATTGTCATTTAAACACTGAAGAAACCTAATTGCAAATAATTATAAACTTTAATTTCCTGTAGTAGATGCTGTCTACTCTTAACAATTACACCTATCAACAAAGGCTTCTTGTATGAACATCAATTGAGTGTTAGAATTTTGAAATTACGAGGGATTATTACACACAAAGATTTAAAAAGTCATAATCAGCACTTGTCACAGTTGGAATGAGATTAAAATTTAAACTAATTATCATACCTTTAAAATCAATTTAATATATTTAAATAATAACCTTTCTTGATCACAAAAATTGGGAATTATATTGAAAATCAAGTTTTGCAATTCTTCATTATCAGTCTACAATTTGAATAAAACATTAAAAACACAATTTTCATATGAAAATAAAAAAAAAAATAACAAAAAATAATTATAGTGCTATATGCACTATAATTATTTTTTGTTGTTTAAATCAGGAAATTTTAAAATGAATTTAATAGTTTGAAGAAAAGGTCATCAGTTAGAAATAATCCGAGAAAAGTAGAAAACTCAACGAGCATCTAATCAATGTAATGATGTAATCAATCTGATGATGTAATCAATAATGTAATATGTAATAATGAGAATATTGTTGTACATTTATCAAGATTACTGTGATTTTGATATTTCTAAATTTTGTCAGAAACAAATAAAGATGAAGTTAAAATTAAAGAAAATAGAAGTCTTTGTATATTATTCAGCTTTATCTTAGGCTAGAGCACAACCCACACATGAAAAAGAATTTATCAAGTCTTTTGAGTCTTAATGGAGAGGTTTTCAGATTGCTCTAGAGAAATTTGATTGTTATTTACACGAGACAATAAAACTCAGTATGCTGGTTCTGGAACCAGCTTGTAGAAGTGTTTTAAACTCACTGAATTTGACTTATTTAAAACATTATTGCAGAGGAAAATTAACAATCAAAAACAATTTCTACAAATATAACAGATTGTATACTGAGAATTTCAAAAGCACTTGGTTCAGATGAAAATTTTCACATAAAAGATTAGTTTAGAATAACTGGAGAAGATTCCAATATCTGAAGAAAAACAAACTTGGGCTATGCTAGGCATATAATAGACATTGAATTTGAGACAAATCATTGAAGAAATCTTGAAAAGTATAAAGATTACTAAAAATATACAACATATAAAAAAAAACATAAAAGACTTAATAGACATTTTTATACAACTAAATAATTTTTTAACATAACTTAGAACATAGTTGGTTCAAATAGAGTGGGGGTGATTTTCAAATAATTTATATATATATATATATATATATATATATATATATATATATATATATATATATATATATATATATATATATATATATATATATATATATATATATATATATATATATATATATATATATATATATATATATATATATATATATATATATATATATATATATATATATATATATATATAAATGAGTCAAACTTTGATTCCTTTTATGGTTATTTTCAATAAAGAATAAAAACACTGCTATGAGTTGCAAAACTGCTCACAAGACAATCAGTGTGCTTTTTGTTAACCTAGTTAACAAAAAACACAAAATGTTAGGAAATGTTAGATAAAAAATTATTAACTCTTAGGAATGAACTTGCACTCTTAGGAGTGACTTAGCACCTTTAAGTAACTTAAGGGTAAAAACAGATGCTTTCTGAGACACTAACAGAGTGCAGTTTTATCACACGTAAGTGTGATTAAACTGCACTCTGTCAAAAAAAATCTCCCTTGTAGATGTCAAATAACCTTTTTGTATTTTTGCTATATTAAAAATACTTTAAAATGATAACTAAAATAAAATGATAACTAAAAATTCTTAAACAAAAATAAATTTAATACTAAACATAAATAAGTAATTAACACAAAACTATACCTTTTTAAGTAAAACACATAAGATTTTCAATGTGTTCTCCTCAAAGAAAATGATGCAATTTCTTTAAAAAAATAAAAAGGTCTACATTTAAGAAATTTTTATTATTTTATTAAATATATAATTTTTAAAAAATTAAATATCTTTTCTAACATATTAATTACAATAAATGTTACTCATAAAATTCATTTAAAATTATTATACTTCATAAAAAAAAGTATTTTAAAAAGACTAACTGTTTGTTGAGCAAAATGAAGTGCTGCAAACACTCCAAAAGAATTTTGATCAAGGCATCATCTTTTGCCAATGAAAAAAGTTTACAAACAGAGTAGACACATCCTTGTTTAACCATATCATCCCTAAATTGATTGCAAAAGTATTTATGTATATTAGAGATGTACTCAAAACATCATTTTTTTTTTTTTTTAATATTTAAAAATAATTTTCATGTTATATGAAGTTGTATATAATGGAATAACATTATATAAATAACAATAACATTAAATTGAAGAAATTAGCTTTAAAAGTAAATTTCAGACTAGCGACATGGCCTATGAACATTTGATAAAAAGATTTCAAAAAATTTATTTTGAGCCTAAAAAATCAAAATTGTATAAAAACTCCCATCAATGTGATTTTTGTTATTAACCTAATAAACCAAATAAAATTTTAAAAAAACTTTTAATAAAAATGAAACTTATTTATTACAAACAAAATAATAATTTTATGCAATTTCAGCTTAAAATAACTTTTATAAAAAAATTTTTAACTCTTAAACTTGTGTTTTTGTTATTTCTGAAACACTGGTGGAGTTCTGAAAGTAATTTTTTAAAAGATAATTTTTTAAATTTAATGTTCTTTTGTAACACAGAACGCCCATATTTGAGATAGGATAAAACATTTTTTAAATGTGTTTTAAACTACCTAATCTATTATGCAACTCTCAGAATTAGGAAAATGCAGTCAGCAATAATTTGTCGTTCTCAATCTTTTTGAGGTAGGCATGAGGTCGGCAAAAATTATTTGATACAAAGGTCTGACCATAAAACCTAGAAACGAGGTAGGCAATTTTTTTCTGACCTCAAACACTTTCAGGTCGGTATTGCGGAATGCCGACTCTAATTCTGAGGGTTGAATATGTAATTGTGTGTTTATATACATGCATA